CTTTCATTGGGGAAACGCGATTGCCACCCAACCTGAAACCTCGTGTCTCGTGGAGCCTCATTGTTATAACGATGATAATGCTGAAACACTTGAAGTTATTTCCCATTCTCATGCATCGTAAGGAATGACGGCCCATCGACAAAGACCTGTCGTCCCCCCTTGCCCCACCCCCAGTCCCCCTAATCAAGGCGACCTGCGAGCCCATCTTAATGGTGGTGACTAGTACAAGTATGTTGAAACTCATTTGACTCGTCTAGGCAACTGACGACTTAAATGGGGCAGGATGTATGCGATGTCATGTCGGGTGGAGGTTTCAGACCGCAGGAGGTGGGTGCCGACTTTTTCCCCTTGAAAAGTGAAGGAAAAAAAAATGGCACCTCTAGTGCAAGCGGACTACAAGCGGAGCTTCAAAGTCGGTTCACTTAATTAGATGTTGATGTTGGATCAAAAAGTCAAATCGGTGCAATAACGAGAGGTAAAAAGTACATGAAAGTAGGGTAAGGAGGATTAAACAAGTGACCGCCTTTTGACAGGCTCTAATGCAATCATAAAATAGTTCAAAGGGTCTGTCAAACTCCGCCCCGGTTACTTTAAGCAGCATGTGATGAATGACTGTTGATGACTCTTTTAATGGGAAAGAGTTGGTCCGCTGGCTTACTGATTGTCTAACGCAATCCCTGATTATTTGCGCTGGGACTTTGGCAGATGTCGTGGGGTAATGAGCTTCCTTAAGGCCTGTCAAGAGGTTGCTCATGCTAAGTCACGACTTTGAAATCTAGCGGCTTACCAATAGGAAGGTGTGGTACAGTGGTGGCAGTTCACACCTCGGTACCACGTAGGCTCTGCTGTGTACCAATGCCAGTCGCTGTAGCTCAGTCGGGATCCCAGTGGAGGTGACTCAATGGAAGAGGGTGTGGTGAGGGCTCTTGCGAAAGGCTTCAAGCACACCTCGCTGGTGAGGTGTTTCGCTGCTCAGGACGCCATCGCTGGTCTCTCGACGATGCTTCTAACCATCGCGGTAGTCCTTTCAGCAGACGAATGATGCCGCCTAGAATGCCTGACTAACACACCAGTTCATTGCGAATGCAAAATGTTGATGTACCAAGGTGACCTTTTAACCTAAAAGGTGCCTTGCAGGCAGTGCGAGACAAGTTTATTTATAGAGAAACTAACTGGATATGCAAACCCAGTTTATCCTCCTTAACGTGTTTGACCCCATTCCCAGAAATCCCCGTTTGACTTGAACGTACCTAAAGTGTCGCTTTTGTAACAACAGTTTGAAAGAGGAGAAGTCTCACACATTTGCGTTTAGAGTGACCATAAAATTTACGCCTTGGTGTTTGCTTAAGCGTTGAGGAATGGTGAATTAATTTGCATAGGCACACAGACAGACGGACACCCCGTCTCCCTGTCCCAGACAGAACGCAGTCTTGACACTCGGGCCTATCGAAGCAGGCTAGCGACAAATCACACGGGAGGGCAGGTGAGGCAAAATTTTGCCTTCTCATCAAGGCTTTTTAATCTTCGATTCGAGAAAATTTCATGTGAGACTTTTTTCTTCGCTTGCCACACACACGCACAACGCAATGCAATGGGTGTGACCCCAGTGGGGATGGCGGATTGTGCATTGGGTGTGGTGCGCCTGTCTCCGATTCCTACCGTAATACTGACTGGTGCTTTCGACGAGCGAAATGTCAGTTCAAAGGTTTCTACCTACTCCATCCTCCCAACGGGTAGAAGTTGCTGAGCCGCCTCAGTTATGGGTCATTTCGACAGCTTTTGATGTACTTTTTGTAACCCAAAGTAGTAATTCAATTCAAATTTTTTTTATTTTTGGTGTTTTAACAATGCGAGCGTTCATACTGAGCCGAGACTTTTGAATTTACCGTCTAACAAAAGTAGTGGGGGTGCTAAATCACGCAGCAATTCTTGGTATGCATGTCCAGTGGCCTGTCCATTGTACAGGTAGTGGGTCAGCCTAGACACCCACCATTACTCACGACGACAGTTGACAGGTGGTCGAGCAAGTGTCTCCCAGAGTGTAGGCATTTCCTTGCATTTATCAAAGCCTCCGAGGCGAGTGCGGTGATGGAGCGCTCAGTTGTGAAAATCGTCGTGTGTGAAAAGAAAAGTGGACAGGCGACACATTTTTCTGGGGTGAGGTAACAATCAACACAACCAGTCTATCACGTAGGGTAGCAAATTTGGAAAATACAATGAAATTACTAATGCAGTGAAGTAGACTGGGCATTACAAAGAAGAATTCCTGCGTGAAAGGTACTCCGCCCATGTCGGTGGCCATTTGGACGCCCTGGCATCTATAATCGTGAAGGTCTCGCTTTGGCTTGAACAGCCCTAATCTCTAAATGCATAGGAATAATTTAATCTGCATTTATTTCCTTTTCTTTCTGTTAAAACTCTAAGAAGTTTGTAAAGTAGTTTTAGGGGTTAAGATTTGTTTCGGTCTTCTACTTAGAAATGAATTACAAGTAGGCATTTAAATAGAAGCCACAGCCACCTGCTTCGTCATTTCCACCTTTGATTTATTTCGAGCTGCGCGAAAGGCCACAAATGTGCCATATAGTCGCGGCTAATGCAAATAAATTCAAATTTTGTCGGCAATGAGCCATCGGTGGTATGGTGGGGTACGGCATTCCAAGTTCCCCCAACTTTTAGAAAGTGGGGCCCCTTTTTTAATAATTAATAGTCAATGGGAGTCAAAATTACTAAGAATAATTAAATTTTGTGACGAATTCAAGTTTTAGGGACATTTTTTTCATTTTCGTCTCCTTTAAACGGCGCTATGTGCAATTTGTTTACGTAATCTACTTAATTCCATATAAGTAGCAATCTAGGCGATTGCAAATAAGTACATTAATTCAAAATGAAAAAAAAAGATTTGTTAACGAAAGTGGTCATTGCGACTAGTTGAAAGTGTAGGAAAGATTTAAGGAAAAATGTGCACTTTGCCCCGCCCAGAGTGGTGTGATGCGATTGAATGACGCCAATCGTGCATTCAGCGAGTTGAAGAGGCACCGCGGCGATGCAGGCACCACGTGAGGGCGGGGGCCTCGCGAGTAAAATGTCAGCCCATACAGTTTGAACTTACACTTGCATTTAGCACAAACTGTTTTTCCAGTTCTACATTTCCCATCGTGCCTTATTTTCATCAGCTCGGTGATGAAAGACAGATGATTGTTCAAATATTCCATTCCAGATTATATGCGAAAGCAGGGCTTGCTACTATAATGCATTCGGTAGTTAAATATCTTTGACTTTACTTTCGAGCCAATCCGTTTCACATTACCGAGTTTGAAGATAGACGTACGTAATGTTAAAGGTACAGCGCCGAACGACTGCTTAGAAGGAGGCTAATCCCATGCACGAAACGAATCCCTAAAACCGAACGTAGAATCCGGAAATGCTGCAAAAAATTTCACATTAGTTTTAACGATAAAATAGAAATTTAAAGCATGACAGATTTACGAGGCTTTGTTTTTAAGCTATGACCTAATAAGTAATAATGCACAATATTATAAAACGGACTTCGGTGCTTAATTACACAGTCATTTGTTATAGTGAGCGAAATTCCTGTATAAAACTGATTTTTTAAATTGTTGTCTTACTAAACGATTAAGCCAAGCTTTCTTCCAGGAATGCTACAGTAAGGAATTTTGAGTCCACCACAGGGGGGTCATGTCTAGGCTCAAAATTACCCAAAATTTCTTTTGAGAAAATGTTATTCAAACGCTGGAATAGTAATGTGAAACGCAGCTTATAAGTCCCAGTAACGAAATGTTTTGAATCATTCCTATACTCACGTGTACAGGAATAGAAAAATAGCAATGCCTTCTTCTTTAAGTAACTGATAGCATGAATGAACTGCAATCTGTCTTCAACATCAATGTAGTTACTACTGAATGCAAAAATAAATTACCTGAATGATAAATTTGCAACTTTGTACGAAGGTTTCTTCATTGACCCTTGACATTATTTTATCAGTTTACCATAGAAAAAAATAACCCATTTTTTGCCATCAAAATGTGCCTTACATGGAGAGATCTAGTCGGGTTTTATAAATGGATTTACATTTTTTTATTTAGGGAGAATCATTTGTGATTTACTCAAGAATCGACTTGTCTTCCTGTTGTTCTCATCTTTTGTTTTGCTTAATCAATGGAACGCGCCAAGTGCATTTGAAGTGGAACTAATCTCTTTGGTTGTAAGGAAAAATGCGTATATTGGAAGGACTATTTTACTGATTGGGGTTAATGACCCTTCTAGTGCTTGGTAAATTTGTCGGACCAAAAAATTCAGCGACCGTCTCCATAATCCACCCAACGTCATTTTTAGAGACGTTTAAGGAACGTGTCATTGTTTGTTTACTTCACAAAGCATAGACACTTTCTATTACTTCTTTCTAAGAATTTTTTGGTGTTTTGGTTTAACTGATTTGAGTTTATGTTCTTTGTGAACCGAGTTTGACTGTTTTATGGAACTCGGCGACGACGCAGTAGTGGAGTCCACCACCGAATGCCATTGGTTGATTCATCACTCCAACACGCGCAATAAGGACACTTTGATCTTCACTAGAGGTGATATTTATTTGTCATTATTGATAACAAGTTCGTGAATTCAAAGTAAATGGGTGAAACATGCTTTTCCAGATTGGCTGTTGACTGTCCACATGACGTGATGGGCCGCCTGTCATTTGTTAAGCAGATGAACATGGCGTTGTTGATCATCCTTTGAACGACTCATTCACTTCTCGCACTTGCAAAGGCCCAACTTCTTGCCCAAGGACTGCACATGTGTGGCGCAGAGCTGAATGAACGGCTTGCTGAAGGCCAGGCAAAAGCTGCTGCCGAGATCTTTCTGACACACATCATTTTATGTACTTTAAAGGTCAGTAAAAGCAAAACTTTTTAGAAATGCTCAGAGCTAGTGATCCAGTAGGAGGAGGACGGTTCACCTCTCATCTTCAAAGGCCAGCCCAAGGCATTGCACCTCGATCTGTCGCCAAGATTCCTACCTGGAGATGGGATGAGAGATCCACTTGCGCACATTCCCTTATGTTATTTTTTTTTTCAAATGACGATTATCATCCTCTTTTGACCCTACATCTCTCACAATCACATACAAGATGGACGAGGAATTTGGGCAAGAACTGTGGAGCAGCATCCGAAGTGCCTCTGGGGCGATTTCCTTCACAGTTTTCGAGGCGGAATGATAGAACGCCTACTAATTTGATCTCGTAACCCACCTTAAAAAATCTTTCTTTTTTCGTGTAAGCCAAAACTTACATCTGCTTTGATCTTGTAAGACTGAGGTTGGACAAGTCGGTAACAAGGCGGCATTTCATACAGTCAAACCATGCGAAGGTAGAAGATGCACAATAGTTTTTATAGGGGAGAGAAAAGGGGCCAAACGAGGTTGACATTGATCACCAAAAATAGTCCTCATTGTCATGAGGGAGAAAGAGAGGGAGCGCGCTTTTGACATTGACGTGGTAAAATCCACCATTGCTTCACTGGCACCAGTTCAGGTGGTGCTGGGTACCCTCGACAAGTGGTTTGGTGGCATTTTTGATGCCGCTAAGCTCATCCACCCCGGTGGCAGTTATAGGAGGGTCAGGCAATGTTATTTGTCTCCCTGTCTATCGTACTTCTTTATCTACAGAATTCCAGGTTTCCCAGGTTAAGAGCTGTGAGAGTTGCCTTTTTTGACACGAAGTGGAGGAATACCTCCACGTCTTCTCCTAGCCTGACATTCGAATGGGTACAAGTGGCAAGTTCATGTACTCCACCTCCACGCAGAAAGATGGGAGAGGAAGCAAGCCCTCCTCATATAGAGACCAAAGTGTTTTGAGTCTGTTGTAGTGGTGTGATTGCAAAAATGTTGGTGATTTGAGCAGCTTGCCGTGAAGTTTCATTTAATCTTGAGCGTGGAATTTTATGGCGGTGTTGAGGCTGTAAAATCAAACAACGGCGAGAGGACAAAGGACTTGGATGTCACTTTAAATGGCAAGAATGATGAACATTCTAGAAGCATACCTTTAAGAGACCATTAAAATTAAAGTTAACATTGGTTGTTCCCTTTACAAATAAATTAAGTCGCCTCTGAGTGGAAATTTTGTTTGGAAAGGTTGACATCCCCTCTACTTCGTGGGACAGGGTAGGTTGGTGGTAATAATACCGACGATAGTGACGACGGTAGATTCAATGCCTCTTTATTGCGTTATGATCTTTAGCCTAGGAAGATTTCGCTGTAGGCACAAAATCTTTTTTTCGACTCACAGAGGCACTTCGGAATGCCTCTGAGGAATTCCTGTGGGTTAAAAAACGCGATCTCTTCGGAGGAAGGAGAGAAGGGACTATCGGCGAGGCAAATATAATTTAAACCTTAAAAAAGGGGGAACTTTTGCAGAAATCGACAGTTTTGTTAATTTGTCGACCATGGCTAGTGGTCACGGTGCTACTGATTAGCCAAATCCTATATAAGTAGATTGTTTAAGTCAAACCGGGACCTTCGGTTTTACGGACCGGCTACGAAAGGAATGTTACCGCTTACACATTTAGGATGGCAGACACGGTTTGAACACCACACCTCATCGGGGTGCACCGCTCATTCCACAATGATGAAAAATTATTGCCTCGTCTTTGGCCTTGATGACGTCACTTCCTCCACTTTACCCGACGACGAGCAGAGGGTAAATGGGCGGTGGGAGACGCCGTTATCGGGGCTGGGGAGGGGACAGGAACCCATAAGCCAGAACGATGTTTCTTTTGGTGGCAGATTTAATTATGTGGGCTCTCCACTCCCTGCGATTCGCTCTTCACGGTGGAGTTACAGCGATCACTTCAAGATTAGGCAGTTAAAATGTGCTTCCAAGAATTCCCTGAAGCGGCAGTGACAGCGAGATTGTGGTCAAGCCCTGAAAGCCATAACACCGAGTGTCTGAAGAGTTCACGTAGTTAATTCCCTTTGTTTGAAGATTTTCGCCAACAAATCTCGTAGTCTTAGGTCTTGCTGGCCTCGCCTCCCTCAAAGTCGCCTCTTTACTGATAAATACCCATACATCCTAGGAGGTCTCACACCTCGCCCTCTCCCTCACTTCTTGACTGGGCGATTATCCGTGGGTGTAAACTTGGATGTTTCTTGTGTGGTCAAGCCATTCTGAGGGATGATGATGATGGTGATGATCCATGGGCTCTGGTACTTCGTCACACCAGCCAGCAGCTGCATTCACACACACACACACACACACACACATCGTGCTCCTCGTTAACTCAAGTGTGTCCGCAGTGAGCCAGTCTTCCCTCTTTAATTATTCCGGTTATAACAGGCAGAAGCTGAGACAGTGTATGGCGCTAACATGTTCTACCTTTCTTCCTCGCCGCGTCGACTCCACTTTAATGCCACACAGCAAAGGGAAGACGTGTCACCTTGACGAACACGGAAGGCGGCTTCGACGACCCTGTCGTTGAAACATCTTTGCATATACGACCAGTCTGTGTGGTAGTCAGTCCCGAAAATCGGTGCAACCAGCCTTCCAAATCGCACTTGCTTGTCCCTAGCATCGTATTGTAGAAGTCGAAGCCTTCCACGCCTCGAGATCAAAGTAATCCATACCACTATTGACCTTCGGATGAGCTGGTAGGATGTGGAGACCGACGAGGAGGTCTTGGTATGGCTAAAGTGAGTAAATATTCAATCGTCATAGAAGTATTAACTCAGGAAACGACATTCTACCTCATCGGTTTAAGAACTCGCCCCAAATGAACATTTTATTTCGGTCTTAGGGAAGAGCCAGTACAGATGTAAAAACCACCATCGCATAAGGAAGAGCCTAATTTCGGGGCGGAAGCTCACCTCTACCTCCTCTTTATGGGGCTTTTTGTTGATTATTTTGGCGTAGGCTTGGAGGCGGCAGTAGAAATGTTTATTTATGACACACCCATGCCTTTTGAAGTGTGCCTCCTCCACCTGCCTCTAATCGTCTCTCGCATCGGCAAATGCGAGAGTTTGGAGCCTTGCGACCACATCGCTCAATCCTTCCCCCACTCGTCCTCCAAGAAGACGGCAGAATGGGAGAGACGCATTAATAATGCTCGCATAGGAAACGTCTTCCCCCGGCAGCCTCTAGCATGGCCCACCTCGTCCTCCCCCCGTCCCAAATATCCTAATCTCCATAAACAGTCATAAAATATGGAAACGGTTTCAAAGGCGTAGGCGCACAATTCTTTGGGGTAAATAGGACAACAATAGCTTATCAAATCACATCTAAAAGGGGGACATTGTTTCTACTTCTCTGCACGGCACAAAGTTGTCAACCTTATAATTTTAACCAAAAAATATTAACTAAGGGTCGGGTTAACTGCTTATCCGTTAGGCAATTGAAGTATGTAGTAGGTGGATAGAGAGAGACCAGTCCAATGTCTACTGATTAAATTGTAAATAATGCTGTCAAAGATGCTTAAAAGTAGTTAGTAGTATGAGTCTACTTCTATTTTAAGCTACTTGGAATAAATGAGTAGAGAACAATCCAGTGTCAGCGGATGAATTTAAACAGCAGGCAGGTGCTCTTGTCTAGGTGCTTGTTGTCCAGGACGCTGAAAGATAGTAAGCAGCATGAACTTGCCTTACATAAAATTGGAGTATCCATCAGGCATTTATTTTTTGAGCGTTTCGCGCACTGTAGTAAATGGAGGACAGATTCAACTTGTACTTGATTTTGATGGTACATCTTGCTAGGCGGGTCTTTCTGTCACCGCAGTTGTCATGGTGTCTCAACAATGGCTGCAGATCCTCAGCTCCTCTGTGAGTTAATGATAACTCCTCCCTCCCCAGCTTCAAAAATAACTTGGGTCATTGCTGCAGCGCCCTCCCACCAACCCAGTTCTGCCTGAAGTAGCAAAAATCCAAAGTAATGTGGTAGAGAGTTTTCCGCCAAGGCTTGAAGGTTATACCGCGAAGGTGAGGTACAATCTAGGAAGACTGAAGTGCTTGCCTAGTTCAGCGCACAGTTAAACAAAACATCATATTACTACAATGCCATTTGTGGTGCAAGTTGGAGTAACGACTTAAAGGATAGAAAATCGTGGGGTTTTGGCAGAAAATTCCAAATGTCCATCGATATCTGCGCAGAGATGAGTCTGTCAGACCTCGACAAAAGCCAAGTCGACACTTGGAAATCGCCTCAATGTGGGATTCTACAATACGTTAGGCAATAAGGAAGTAAAGTTACTAGAAGGTCTCTGGAATAGCTGCTCAGGCTTCCACTAAACTCCCTTTACTCAGATCAATGGAGAACTGTGGATGTCTATGCCTGCGGTAGGACGGTCTCCAGCCTTTTTTTTGCCTTGCATAGGTCAAGTACTCAGGAAGCCCAACCAATAAAAGCGATGTCACCCATACCACCAAGTTGGTGATGATAAGGCATTGGAGAACCTGTTGCCAAAGCGGTGGAGGAGTTGAAAGACCGAAGTAGAGGAATGAAGAAGGGGAGCTAAAGCTGCGATCACCATCTCAGTATGATGATGTTCCAACCGTACTTGCAGCCTCACAATTCTTCCCCATGTGAATAATGAAATCTGCTCTCCCTCCTCCTCCTCCTCTTCTAATAGTGCTGTGGTGGACCGGTGTTATCGCGCGGGACTGAGAGCCTTCCAAGCCTTTAACAATCTAGTTAGTCAAAGGTAAGAATTCCGTACAGAAGGAAGTACAGTAAGTCCAATGGAGACTGGATGATTATTACGTGATGGTTTCATTCAAGTGTTAGCTTAATAAATGGTTGACCTTGACCTTAGACTAGTGGTCAATAGACTTAAAGTGCATCTCGACTTAATATGAGCCAATCAGGAGGGACTAAGCAGGAGCACGACTTTCTGGGACGTCTTCAGACCAGCCGTCCATTGAAAACTTCCAGATAACCAGACAGGAACGTTTTTCTGGAGTTGCAGAAGTCGCCAGCACCTTTCCATACCGAAAGAGTCAGTAAAGACGATCTCCGGGGCGGAAATGTAATTGTCTCGTTCTTCGCCTTCGCCTACCTTAGGATGGATCAGCACTCAGGGCAGTCCAATCTGGGTGTTCACCTCCATGGTATACTATGGACCGGATTCCACACATAGAGACTTTATCTTGAGGGTATCCAGTGGGAAGTCCATTGACAGGGTTTTGTGTTGCCACTGCTGATTCGTAGGCGTAGATGGTTGACGTTTGCATAAAGTTAGTCCGAAGGTTCTATCTACCCGTCCCGGTGATGATCGCCAGTGTTGTTTCCAACCTTAGTCTACGGATCTCGTACACATCGCAGTTATGCCCCTGCGAGCCTTTTCGTTACCCTGGGACGAAACAAAACTTCCGGCGAGGGACTTCACGTGGCTGCAGCCAGAATGACTGGTGAAGTGGTGGACGTATTTACTTGCACAGAGCACTGCGATTGTCAGACACCAGGCAGCTTTCGGCGACGCGATGTGAGCCACGGCGACGAGGCAGCACTGTGGGATGGTCGCCAGTAATCGAAGAATCAACGTGTTGCCGGATTTTGACCTCTCTTGAACTTTGACAGTGACCATTGGGAGAGCTAAAACCAAGGGAGACGGGATAGCCCATCCGATTGCAGATTACTCAATGCGATCCGACTCATAAGAGCTCGAAAGCGGGCATGAATTTTTTCTTCTTCTTCTTCTAGAACAGCTTCTAGGACTAATCAATTTATGGGAGTAAGTCTGCAAAACCCTTGACGTCGCTAAACTTATCCGTGAGGAGATGCGTCCCTCGGGATAAGTGTGATGGTCTACGAGGACGATGCTGACCTACTTCACAAATGCATTTCCCCCAAGGACCTGTCAATATGTCCTGGCATTAACCCTCCACACACACTGTCACATGACAGTGGAAGAAAAGTGGAGGAGAATGGGATGAGGTTGCCCCGCCACACCGACACTCGCGCCCCAGCTACTAGACTACATGTGATGGGTAAAGGCTGGATACCTTGAAAGCTTACCCTTTTTTTCGCGTTAAATGTAGTGGTGGTTATTTCGCTAATATAAGCAACAAAACTTTTAGAAGCTTTTTTGCACTTGTTTTAATTTTATTTCAAGTGCCCGCACACATCTGATTAGTTACTTTGGAGAAACGAATCGAAAATGACTCTAAGGTAGGAAGTCGACTTTTATGTAAGGGGAAAGCACGAAATTAAACAAAACAAATTTATTTTGGCTATTTTTCTCTATTGAAAAGGCATTTGCCGGGCCTCCTACATAATATGCTATACCACTCCACTCAACCAGACTGGTGAACATCTTACTCTACTTCCCTCTGCACCACTTTACGTAAGCGTGTAATTAGCTGAATGGGCTCCTCCTGATGCCCCGATTTCAATGGTCTCAAGTGGCGGCAGCTCCTTCCCACGCCTTCCGTAACCCGGTGATGGGCTAACCCTCTCATTGGTGGGGTTTGTTGCAGCTTTGGGGGGACGCGAGGGAGGGGAAGGCCTAGCAACCTCCGCTATTTCAGAGGCTTTGGGACATTTCAATTTTTACGAATTTTTATTACCACGTTTCGATTCATATGTAAATACATAATTTTTGGAGTTTGTAGCTGGAAAAGTGAATTCTGAGTTTTTCCTTTTAGTTAAAGCGATATAGGAGTGGTTGCGATTTCACTCAGGTAATGAAAAGGGAACATTAATGTTTAAAAATACCTCCAAAAATTGGTTTGAACAAACTAAAACCCGTAAGGCAACTTGTACTTTAGATCTGAACATTCGGGTTAAAAATTCATTGATTTTTCCTTCATTTTTATGACTTAACAACTTTAGAATTAAGTAGTTTTGAGTTTTATGGATTAAAGGATCCGCAGAAATGCAGAAAAAGAGACAAGGTTTGAAACTTGTGACTATCGTACGTAGATATTACTCTCAGTGGAGCGCTCCACCAATAGGTGACGAGATGTTCGCCCGTCTCACTCATTGGTCAAACAGGCTCGACTAATCGGAGGCCGAGTCCCCTCTAATCGAGTTAGCTTAACCAATGGAAGGCAAAAGGGATTTTCCCATAGAAGCCAATCAAATTGGTTGGCCACCATGCAGATTATATAAGGCGAAGGGACCGCTAGAGCCATCATTGAAGCATTTACGCACACAGATCTGGGTAAGCGAAGTTCTTATATTGTTCTTGCAGAGGATTCCATCTTCTTCGTAGACGAGCCTTACAGAATTTAGAAGCTTATAGTTGCTATGGTGACTTGTTTCTGCCTTTGTCCCCAAAGTCGTCTTGATTCATCAATTTTCTCCTAATGAGTGTTAGCATTAAACTAATTTGGCTTGGAGATTACAAAAAAACATGAGCACAGGTTTCCCTCGCTTTTCTTCGGTCAAGCTTTAAGGCAGAAGCGCACTTTTTGTGTCGCTGAGTGAAAAGGCGGAAGAATTATGGGGGCAGTGAGAGCATAAAGTTGTGGTGGGGGAACAGGTAACACAAGGGATCACATAAAATAGGTAGTTAATGTTTCGGCGACAAAAACCTTCAAGTTTACGCTAGCAAGTAAAGGAAATTGCCCCCATTCTCAAAGTAAAATGAAGTGTACTTTTAAACTGGATGGCGAACACTTAATGGGGGAAAAAAACTGTGAAATGCTTTTTCCACTAATTACGGGTCGCGAAAACGGTCTTCTTTTAAGGTGGCTAGGTTTTATTGCCTTCTGTTGTAGAAATACGATGTCGTTCCCCCAGCCAACAAATTTCCTACTTGTCATAGCTGCTCTGATATACTTCTGCGTGGTCTGCGTCAACTCGCACACCCTCGACAGCAGCTGGAGTGACAGCGACTCTTCGGACATGGAAATAGGCGAGAACGAGGCATTGGTGAAAGACTTAGTTGCTACAATGGGCAACCTGTCTCCAGATCAGCGTCATGCTGTCATGAAGTTCATTAAGTCCGTCTATCTGGTAGGCCTCTGCCATCTCTTTTGATGGTACTCAGCTTGCATAAGTAGTACCTCCCATGGAAGGAGAGTAACTGGGCAGTAGAAAAATTGTGGGTTTTCTGTAAGGAGTGCTTAAATCGGAAGTCATCCTCTCATCAGGTCCTGTTAGACCCTGTTTTATGCTTCAGGCCATATAAGTCAATGCTCTCATCATCATTTTATGGAATGGATTATAAGAAAGGAAATTGTTTTTGACAGCAGGAACATTTATGACTTCCGCTTTCTAGTTCCTTTGTTTTTTTTTTCTCCCTTGAAGGCACTCAAAAAAGAGAATTTTGACTTGAATGTACCAGGTAGGTCCTTGGTTTTATCGGCATTCGTTAAATGAGCCAACTTTGAGGCAGTTAATGGCACTTGGCTTGGTGACTTTTTATAACTGCTTAATTTTCTAGGGAAGATTCTACAAAAAAGGATTTACACATTTCTGCGTGGGTAGATTAGTCAATTCCAGGCATTACCTGACACTCAAGTACTGCAACATTGTTTAATTTTTCCCTTTACTCCCCATCCGTCGGTTGTTTATCCTCCCCACATTAAAATTTAAATAATGCTGTGCCTCTAATTCAGATAAACACACTGCGGCGCCGCGTGTGTTAATAATAAATTGCATAGGGTTTATAATTTCTTATTCTTCGGGTGGAGTTCTGGGGGGAAAATTGTTGCTTATAGTCATTTTTGGCGAAGGAAACACCATACCTGGTACTCGATTTTCGCCGCACCAAGCACGATTAGAATTTTTCCTAGATTGTGGCGTTAAGAGACGCATTCGATTAAACAGATGGCACGTCAAATTGCCGGCAGTTTCACGTGCCACAGTTGCAGCTTTACGAGCTAAGAACTCTTGAAGCCGCACGAGTCCCACTTGTAGCTAAGGCACTCTAGTCACAGGACATAATTGTAATAGAAGTGTTTGACTTAAGTCCTACAGTTGAATACATTTGAATTAGGGCACAATTTAATACTAAACAATAAAAAAGCTAGCATTTCCTTTATACCCTTGACCAAATTGGCTATCTGCCTTATTTCCAATAGTTTTTGGCCGAGTGCATTTATTTAGCTTAGGTAAATCATACGTTCTTTGTCAAAGTGACAAATTCTTTACCAAAAATAAAGGCAGATTTGATAACTGACTGTATTTCCAAAATTGTACGTTTCTTTTTACCTCCACCTTCTTAAAGAAGAGTAAGTGTATCAAAAGTAAAAATAAACGTGCATATTTGACCTTTTCAAAGCCATTTCACATTCAATTTGTTTAAAGTACTTCCCAACTGTCTGTTCATCTGGTAATGTGAAACGAGCTAACTTTAAATGTGTAAATAACGGGATACCTTACATTTGTTGCAAAGTCGATTGCATCGTTTTGGGTCGCGCTCATTGCCACTTTATAATCTTGCACAAAGAGAAACATTTTTTTAACATGGAGTGTCGGCAGCCATTAAAGTTCAAACACCTACCTTGCCTACTGAGGTATGTACAAATCTTGTGCTGTCCATAAAGCAGTGACAGCGTTACAAGTGCACTTTGTTAACTATTTTTGTGAACGTCAAGATGTTAGTGAGTCTTGTTTGGCTAAATTTCGCCACAACTTCCTCGGTAGGCCTTTAAAGTGATGAAGATTTGGCTTAACTCTCGGCATCCTAGATAGGGCTGGAGAGAATGTACACTGGAGTGGACAAACCTGAAACTACTAGAGCATGTATGAGTGTTATGGTTTACGGCGATTATGTCACAGTCGCCATTGCATACCCTCCTTATCATCAGATTGGAGGGTTATATTGTAGATATGTTCGCCCTTGGTTGTGGGCTGTTGCGTTCTCCCAAATCGAATGTCAGTAACTTTAACACCTAATGTAAATGCATTTAATCGCCAAAGTTATAGGCCTAACTCTGTGTAGAGTTACCACCTGTTCTGCGTCGCCCCTATTCACACTAACATTGCATGCGACGAAAGGTGTTGATTAGGCCATCAGGATTGCCAGTGGACGTCGTGGATTTCCCCCTGCCCTCCCAAAAAAATTATCCCATCGTAGAACGTGGACGTGTGTGTGTCCCATTTAAGAGTTAGCTCTGAGATAAACAGTTTAGAAATATTTGTAGCGTTGTGATTTCTTTTGCCCAAAAAACAGGAATACAGAGGAGAGAGGTTCCCACTGAAAGTAGATGAGCAAAGCAGTTCCCATCCACCTATTCTTCCCTTTTTTGGGGCGACAGTGATGCCCTTAATGAGATTTTCTCACTTGAAAAGCTTTCTTCACCTTAGCTTCGATTTTGCCGATGTTGGATCGGGAACAGGGTAATAATGTGCCTAATTTGCCTAATTTGTTGGTTCGTTTGCCTACTTATTTGGTTATCAGCATCCCGCTTGGATAAGTGAAAGTGAAGGGTTGCCAAAGGTGTTTCTCGTTCTCCGAAATCGTACTGCTCAAGCCGATTAGAGGGAAGAGAGAGAAAGTCCCAGTAATAGTTTGGGATCACTCAAATTTGTTAGCGCCTGACAACTTCTGACCCATTAATCTGGCAAAGTTGCCAATTTGACCAATGGCTCAGTTGATAAGTGTCAATGGGGGACAAAACTGGCTGCGCCTTTTGATTGACAGGCGGTTCGGTCAAACTAGGAAAGGAGTTTATACGTGGCATACATTCCACGGCGTCAAAATGTGGTATAAAGCGGACACGCGGCGTTGATTTTGTGGATGAAATAGTTGGACAGAGATTGCTGAAGCAAGTACTGGAGGGAGGAGAGGGCTTGGAACCAGATTTATTGCTCTACTTATTTATTTATAATGCCACTAAGGGTGGATCCACAATTACCGCTCTGTTGCTCACCATGCTAGAAACCTTTCCTCACCCCTCTCCCACGAAAAGGGGGAAGCGGTGGTGGAAATTGCTCCCCCCCCGCCCACGCAAGAGCGATCGGTGAGGAATCGGGGCTTTGGCCCCAGATTGTAAAAGCGAATTTGTTACCCATGATTCAGAATTTAAACCAAATTTGGTAGTTCTTGAAGCCAGAGGTTACGCACCACCCCTCGGAGGCACCACGGTAGGCATGCAGTGCCTGTGGGCGATAGGAAAAGATGCTCTGAGTTACTAGATTACTTAAAAATTCTAAGAAAAATAAGTATGGAGGATGAGTTCATTACGACTCGTTCACCCAAGTGGGACCGGCTATGCTATTTGACGGCGCCATAAAGACGGGGAATAATCCGCTCCGCCCTTCTGTACCCTCACAGGAGAGGTGTCATGTAATCACTGTCAAGTGCAGGTCACTGGGTCAGTCTATCTCCTCGGTACTTCAAAATCTCACACAGAATGTCGAGTGATTCGAGCTTGCCCGCCAGAGGATGTGAGTTTAGTTTTGCCTCCGAGGGGGCAACAAAAGTGTCTTGCGATGGCAGAATGTACCGACCAAAAGTGGTTTAAACGGGTCCCAACTCCACCAATAGCAGAAGACACGGAGATCGGAAGAGTGGTAAAGTGTCCCTTGCTTCTCTCCAGCTATAAAAACACGTCAATTGTAAGACGGTTTGACACTTCATGATGCGAGACGGACTTTAGACCCTCCAACAAATAGTTCCTGAGGAAATTTAAGAGTACACTGTGCGATTTACATTGCTCTTGGTGGAATAGAGGCGCTTCCAGGCCTGATGAATGGCAGGTCCACTTTGTTAAACGCTCCACGCAGCAGTCAGAAAGAGAGCGGGAGTCAGCTTCTCGATGGTACCGGACAGGTGGCAGTAATCCCATCGCATAATCCCTAATGCATTATTCAGTGAACGAATTGCCCCCCTCCCTCCCTTTCACGCACATCTCCATGTGTCCATGTAAGCAAGTGCCTTCTCAGCGTCGGATGTAACTTAGCTTGCATTATTCACGCACTCTGGGCCTAGCTTATGGCACAGGAGGCCTTCTTCTGGAAATAAAAAGGAAGCGGATGGACAGGAGCACATCGGCAATTTGGTTAGTATTAAATGCTGTCATAAGGGGATTCAAGTGGCACGAGAGTGAATGATCTCGGTGGGTTCGGACGTTAACAGGAGAGAATGAAAGACGAAAACCTGCTTTAAGCTGGTCCAAATCGGCTGGGTTAATTGGGAGGATTTCGAGTAAATCTGCTGCTAATGGCTGTAAACAGAATAAAAGAACGTGCACTAGGGGAGGTGATCACTCTATGGAAGTAAGAGGGGGTTGGAAGAAATTAGACACCAAGACAAGACAGTAGAGGGCTTTTTTAAAGCCTTTTGTTTGCTGGACTCAATACTGATGCAACACAGAAGCACCCAAAACCCATTTCTCACCTCAGGCCAGTAAGCAACCAACTCTTTCCACCAGCGCACTTTTATAGGGGATGGGGAAGAATGAAGGCAGTCTTTCACCCACTACCACATGTGGATGGAGCACAAGCGCAAAGCCTCGTATTTTCTCCAAATTTTCACCTCCCAGTTGATGAAGATGTGCCCGATGAGTAAGTCTTCAAAAGCTTCACCGCCTAAATCCAGAAGCATTTTTGCCGACACGCTTCAAGCGCTTTACAGCGAACTGGGCGAGAAGCTTTTGTATCCTTGAAACCAAAGTGAAATCGGTTCGTAAAACAGGCAAGAGCGGTTCAGAAAGTTTGCTGGACGATGAACACATTTAGCGAGCTGCAGCGAAACTCAGAGACTTTTTTTTGCGACCTGCTTCTTATCCTCTTCCGTGGTCACCACAGCGCCTCAAGCAAGTATGGAATTTGTCGCTCTATGATGCGTATGGGGCAACCAGTTATGCGGGAATTCGTAAACTCCTTAAAAGAAATTCCGGATACTATTTAATTGACAAAATCTGACGTCTAAGGCAGCTGCCAGTAGAATGGGAGGTGAAAGCATTAATAAGTTCGATGAGGAAACACTGTCTTACCTTTCTTGAAAGGAAACGACTGTCAACTATGTGCGAAGGGAAAGGATGTCACGTCAGTAATGCCTTACTACAACAGCGCTACTTACACCCGACAGTAGCATACATTCGTAGGTGATGCATTTCCTTAGAGCTAACACCCTAGAGTTCGATGGGAAAACAGACAAATCTGTTTTACTAAATAAGCAAAAACCCCCATCCGCCACGAAAACAGCTTTATCGCCTGATCAACGGGAAAATCAATAGAATATAACCATTAACCAAAAACCCAGCGTCCCAGGAACTGTACATAGTTACATCCGACACCGGCCTACTTGGAGGGCGAGTCAGGGGAGGGAAGCCCGAGGAGATTGGCGGGAAACCAGGAGGGTCGTTTTCGATTGACACGATGAGTGTATGCGCCAGCTTTGCCAAAGGTCTCCTGGTCATAGAGAAACTGGGTCTCCTGATCATATGGAAGGCCCTCTCGGACTGACCTCAAACTGGCACGAAGCGCATTTGTTTCTCGCCGTACTTCGTCATAACAGTGAACTAAAAGGTGTGGAAAAGAGGCTGTAGGCACATCAGGATCGCCTTTACTGTCAAAGACATAAAGGGTAGTTTCATGCTTTCTCCAAAAGCTAGTAAAAACAAGCAGTTTCTGTTGGTTATTCCATGAATGGAGAAATTCAGATCAGTAAGGAAAAAATAGGCAGATGAAAAGGTCCCATAATTTTGACAAGTACAAACAAAGACTAATTCTTTAGGTATTATAGCAGCAAAGAAAACCGAGCAAAGGAGTAAAAGAGACAAAATTACCACAAATCGACTCTCGAGGATGCCAACTCCCACAATGCGGGCAAGTGACCAAGTCTCTCCTGAGTCTGTACTTGTCCATTGTAACTAAAACAACAATAAAAGGATAGCAGCAGCATACAAGAGAGAAACTTTCGGTCCCTTCGAACTCCAATGCTGCGCCTTTTTTTGGGAGTTGCAAAAAAGATAGAACCGTTCCAAAGATCCCAAATATCCGACAACCTGAACGCTGTCGGTGTGATCGATGGGCCAACAAAACACAGTCCTAAAAATTTGCTTCATAACTTCTACATATAACGAATGTACCGTAAGAACCACGTCCAGAAATCAGATCGATGATGAGCTTTGCGCGTGTGATTATCTCGCCACAAAAACCACGCATCCCGAAACCAAACGCTCACTTCCCCACCATACAAAAATGACCTTTGGATTTCCGAAAATTACAGAATAAAATCACGAACTAAAATGTTCTTAGTTAGGTCTTTTAAAATCATAGTAAAATAATGGATTTACAACTATGCACGCAGGCTGCGATTGGACCTTACAATCAAAGTTAATTAGGAAGGTTTACAACTAACATATAGTCAAATTTATATAAAACACCTCTAATAAAAAGCTCAGCCTAGACTAGCTGCATTATTTTAAATCTGAGCAAAATTGAAGCGAAATTCTAGGAATTGCAATGTTGCGCTCACCATTCCGTGCCTTACCAGAATTCGTAACACGCCGGTCTAATGGTGGAACACACACTAATGGCATGCAAAAGAGTCGAATGGCTAATACTATAATCAAAGCATGAAAACACAAACTGTAAAAATGGAAGTGCTAATGCAGTCAACCAATTCATAAAATCATACCATAGTTGCTCGCTTTTACGTGCCATCCCGTGCGCTCCCCTAGTTCAGCCCCCGTGTCGGGCAAAAACAGTGCACTCGGTGCCATAACAAGCCCTTGTGAAACAAAACCCCCAGCCACTAAGTCTTTTTGCACAAAGAAAGGCACTGGATGCCAATATCACTGAAGTATCTCGGTGATCTCACCGCATCCAAAGTTTGTCATATTTGTAACTTACGTTAAAAAGGACGCTTCGTCACCAAGGTCTCAGAAACAGACATTTCCCTTTAAGGAGAACGACTTGTGCTGCAAATGCTGGTTGTATAAATTTAGGCCTAAGGACAAAACTACTGAGCCTTAGCACCTATTTCTCCCCCCCACTAAGCTCTCAATTCAGCTCTACCCATCCATCTATCTGTACTTTATTTAGCTAGCAGGGCTGTGAATGAGAAGTGATTTATTCATGTATTTAAGACTTCAAGCAGTTGACGTAGACAGCTCAACAATCAGCCTTATGAAAAAATACGAGTCTGGTGAAGCATCGGTTGCTAATAACAATCATGCAAAATAAGGCGAATATAGATATCACTGCAACTATTTGCTGTAGATCCCTTTCTTCTGTTACATTAGGGTTTAGCATTCAGTCTGCATAAATAAAATAGTTTGTAATACGATAGTGGTTTATCCCTCGGCTCTGGTGAGGCGCCACTTTTGTACTTTGAATTAGCCTCCTTGTACCTCGCTGGGTGGGCTGGCCTTTAGGGCCATGCCAATAGTCCAGACACCTTCTCCGTGATGAATATACGTAATCTGCCCGAGTATTGTGTCTTCTTTCGTCTTCAGGGAGGCTCGGGACGCTACAAGTTTGCCTTTTAAAGTATTCACATGCCACCTTTATCAGTGTAATGTAGACCCACAGTAAAGTGGAATGATGTATGTAACTGATGTTCAGAGGAGCTGGAAGGCCACTGACATAATAAAAGATATGATTTATATTGGAAGCAAAACTTGTAAACAATAATGTGCATTCTCAGTCAAACATACTGTTAAAGGACGCATCTAATCACTTCAACTACATCTATGCTTACAACTGAAATCCCGTCATCAGTTCCATTTATTATGCAGACACATATGCAATCGCTAGTTTGCCTAACACAACTGGTTCAGATGCTTTTAAATTTCTCCCTTGTTCTGTTATTCACTAATCAAATTCAATTTCATAAATTGTGGAATCATCATCAGCAGCAAAATTCCCTTGTGCACAAATTCCAAATCTTGGCCTAGCTCTCAAACCCACTTCTTAAATTACTTGAATTCGAATTGTCTAAGGCATGTGTAACGTTATCGACTTTAACATGCTTTTTTGTTTATCTACTTGGCCTCCATTACTTTGAGGCCGTTGTTAATCAGTAGGCTGGCGTGGGTTTTTCATATACAAGCTATTGCAGTGTGCTATAAACGCAATTATTTAGTTTTCAAAATGGGTATTAGTATTATACATATTACTTCTCTTGCAAAAATGTTGTACTGAAGGTATCTGACACGTTTTACCTCGATACTGTTCAATTCTTTTTGCATCAGGTGTCCTTGTTGAGCGTTGTCATTTGGTGAGTCAGCACCTCATCTGCACTCGTCCTCCCGGTTGGGTCACATGACGGCGGCGAGGAATGTGTCCCTTATACCTAGTTCATGCCGCAGGAGATATTCCCGCAAACATAGGCCACAATTAAGCACTGCTATTCTGACCACTTTATGAACTAAAGTAAGGGAAACAAAAACGCGGACTGCATTAATGGAGATGTGTACAAACGAGTGTGTGTGTATGTCTCGGTGTGCTTTTCGTTCGTCGATGGCTCTGCTGTGGTCTGCTCTATTCTCCTCACTCAGACCAAGCTCAAACTGTGCCCATTAAGGGGAGAGGGGGTAGAGAGTAGGACAAGGAATGGGGGATTGCGTTGTCCACACACGTACGAGGGAAGACATGCTAGAGAGAGGAGGTGGTGAAAGAAAATGCATTTAGTAGTAGTTACTTCAGTAGTATACTCTTCTCGTTACTTTTCATGGATTGGGATCAGGGTCCGCCATTAGCGGTGGCAGGCAAGAGACGCAGCGCAGGTGGACGCTCTATCACAGGGTCTGGCCGGAGGATGGATTCCTCTATTTCATTTCAACTACCTGACTTAGACGTGTTCGACCGAATAGCTGTGGGAGTTAGCGAAGCGGGCCCGCAGTTGGCGTAGGCGGTCTGATGGCAGTAACTCCCGGCGGAAACCGACTGCGCCTCCGGGGGACCCCGGGTCGAACGGCTTCCTGGTGTCATCGTTGTGGTGGTGGTCTGGTTACTGGTGTCAATCCGGCTATAGCTGCGTGTTCGGCGAGGTAGTTCTGTACTGTTGGTGGTAGTGGTCTGGACTGGATGGTGGGAGCGAGCGGAGGATTGCCGAGTCAAGGTGGCCTCATCGCCGTCACCATTGGCATCAACACCACCACTACCGGCAAGGAGGGAGTAGACTTCGTTGGTCACGGAGGTGGCAAGCAGAGGCTCCTGCTGTAGCATGCTCTTCTATTTATATTAAACAAGAAAATAACCACTCACTCCACGTATTCGTTAATCTTTTCTTTAAGCACTTCTTTGTCAGGGATGGTAGAAAATTGCAAAATTTTGCTTGATGATTGGTTGCTAGTGCCTCTCCTGTTAGGTATGCTTCATAAGCCTTACCAGATATTATCTGAAGGGTAAATCTGACACCAGAAATAAAAGCTGCACCACAGTAATTCCTACCTCTAACATGAAAACGTAAGAAGCCATCATGGTTATAAAAATCCGAAATTTTGATTGACCGAGAATGATACTACTAAAAACACCCACGTTGGGGAAGCTGGTAGGCCGGGACATCACAGATGGGCTGTTCTGCTCGCCATAGTAGGAGATTAATAGCGGTGGTTTCAATTTCGACGAGGTCCGCACTGGCGGGCAAGGTGGTGTGCCGTAGTCACCTCCATCCTGCCAAGCTGGAATGTGGCTGGGCAGAGTCTGATAGCCCTCAAGGCTTAAGACTGCTGGTATCACGCCCCCCTCCTTATCCTCTTCCGCTCCAGATGTTCCAGATGGTTGTAGAGGATCTCGGTACCTCCACGGTGATACAAGCCCACGACTACAGTAGCACCGCTGGCTCTGGAGGTGATGATGGCTAAATCCGCAATCCGCGGAAAACTGCCAGTCGGAATTTTGATGGTCCAGGATCAGAGATTGGCCAAAGACGAATGCGGAACGACGGCGTTGATCAAGGTGTGGATGGTGGAAATTCTGCTGTCCTTGATGGTGACCTCGGTGATGGTGATGACTTTGACTAAACTGGCTGTTTTGCCTTGAACCAGCACTGCTTGAGTGTAAATGCTGACTGGATATTAGTGCACTCGGGATACCTCGTTGTGACGTCGGCATCTTCGACTTCTCCGGTTCCACAGTGTTAGTAAGAATACGAATGCTGCATTCTTCACCCTATGTGAAAGTGTCTCAAGCTATGAGTACGCTCAAATCACAACACCTACACATTTCTAAGACCACGGACAATTGGTAATTTCACAATTTGGCTTCGAAAACGAATAAAAGTGCAACCGATAGAGAGGTGTTTTTATTTTCGGGTTTTGTGCTTCATTTTTCTCAAAAATTGTGGAAAAAACTAGCCTACTTAATTTAAGTTGGTACAGTGTTATAAATTAATGAAATTTTCTGCCAATGACTAAGATCTACGCGGAAAGAATCGTACAACCCCGATTATAGGACCCAGTGGAATGGACGAGAGTTGATCGCAGGAGTTCTACCTCTGAACTAAACATGCCGTGTCTAAGCAGAGCAGCTAATTTTTTAGGTGATTTTGCCAAAAGGTGGATTTTTCATTTGCTCTCACGTATCTCCATTTCTTGGGGGCTCCATGGGTCGTGTTGTCTCCCGACGGTCGTCGAGTTCTTCCGACAAAATCCGTTTAGCCTTTCAATAGTTGAATACTGCACCTATTTCATGTATCCTTTTAGGCAAGTAGATCGGCCTTAAGTACGATATTATCACCAAACATGTTCCAGCTCAGCTCTCCAAAGTCATTGGCTCCTCTTCTGGCCTAGAATCATCTACTCTGTTCTCATCAATTCCTCCTTGACATTTTGAAATGAGAAGACATCGTTTGTTCAGCTAACCTCATAATGACACGTTGCACTAGCAGAAACCGAGGTCTTCTTCGCTAGCGGCACTCGTGGACTGCTAGCATGATAGCTACTGACAAGTGACGGTTTCTGCTGCGCCGTTGAGGTGACAACAAGGCGGGGGTTGTTGCTGTCGCAAACCGAGGCGGTAGAGGAGGGTGGAATGGTGGGAGTGAGAGGCGGTTTTGAGAGACTCGGATGTTTCGACAGCTCAAGCGCAGTTGTCGCGGTGTTGAGACGAGGTCCACTCAAGTTGCTGTTGTTACCGTGGTCGTGCTGACTCTCTGCTAATGCGTCGCGACTCAGCCAAATCCAGTCGTTGTCACGATTTATGCGATGCTGAGATAGGCTCTGGAATGCAGTAGAGGGACAGTTTAGTTGTCTGAGTGGAAAGTACGTCGTTGTAGTCACAAATAAATAGGAGTTTATGCGAAAAAAAGGGGGAGCTTGGAACGGACAGGTGCCGATTTAGTGTAACAAGGTTTTGGGGCGCACGCGCACACCCCTTCCCCAAAACACACACACAGAAGTGAATTAGCTTTTGCCCCGCTTCACACCGTCTAGGATGGGATGAATTCCCTGCCCCTCCGAAAGCATTCGTGTATTTCCGGAGTGCAGTGCGGGCTTCACAAGTGCATCAAAATGCCAAGTTTCTTCTGCCAGATCAGCCAAAATGGCTAACGGGGGGGAACTGCCAGGCTGTCTGCTTACCCATCACAAAAGTTATATCCTGGCCAATCAAGTCATGAAACGCTGCTTTTGTTGCAGTGGAATGAAGTAGTGCTGTTCCATCCAGAGGGTTCCAGTGTTCGAAAGGGGAAGAAAATAGCCTTACGAAATGAGAAGCCGATGCGTAAAGACCCAACCAATCGTTTTCGCGGATCGTGCCTTCCTCAATCCCTCTGACGTCGGTGTTAGATGTACGCGTTGCGGGTTCAGGACAGACTTGGAGTACTACAACAACGACGGTGAAGAACAATCCCGTTGTTTATTATCCATTTGCCACGTTACAGAAAGAAGACGATTGTTGTGAATGAGTAGCTCTGCAAGGGACTCGCTACTGAAGGGTTAAAAGTGTGCGTACTTTTGGCGATTTACTATTGCCTAGTCCTACACAATGACCATGGATGGAGCAGGAATCAACAAATAAAATGCTTCACCGAGCCAGAAGCCTACAGCCCTTCCGTTCCAGTATTGTGACCTCTTCCAACTTCGGGAAAGGCATAGGGCCCTGCACTGCCGTCAGCGGAATGCGAATCCGATCCTAGAGAACAGCTGCCTCAATTTCTGTTGCGGAATGCGAAACCCCAACGCGGCGGAAGAATAACATCTGCTGCGGATGGAGAAATCTGCGAAGGCCTTTAACGGAAGGGTCGGAAATAACTTTCGCCTTAGTAAACAACCCCAGTCACGTGGTCCACGGGAATGCTATTAACAGATGAGCCTACATTAGCCACAAACCATTTAGAAAAGTTCATCACGGCACCTGTGTGGAGATGGCAATGAAGCCTCTACTCCTACGATATCAATATAGAGCCCACATTGGTATGGCTGGGCAGCACTGAAGTGAGAACAAAGCGTCAAGGAGGAACAAATGCGAGCCCTTATCCCCACGAAGGTAATTTAAGCCCTGTCCTTCATCCAATGACTCTGCCTTTAGACCAGTGTTCCTACGAGTGGCGGTGGATAAACGTGATAGCCTGCATAATGCCCTGTCGTATATTACAGTTCCAAAATAGGACAAAAGTCCAGATCCAATAGAAAACCGTGAGGATTTAGCAACATTTGAGTCAGATATCCTCTTAATTGCATGTAAATTTGATGACTGACGCGGTTGGCTCTTGGGGGTTTTCCCTGCAGCACGGACGCGGGAGGCCAACCAAGTGGAGTGCCGGGGACGACGTTCAAAAGAAGGGAGGGGGCGGGAAGCATGCAATACTTTGTTTGCTTAGTGCTCGGTTTAGGTGATGCGAGGCACTTGAGGTTCCGCTTTTGTTCTTCCGAGGGGTGGGCTGATCTCGGTGGGCTCAGTGGGCTCCAGCTCGTCTCCACTTCTGCAATAAATATTCCCCCCCCCCCCCAACGTATTATGCTTTCCTTTTTATTTAGAGAAATCTCGGGGCTCTGTGCAACATTAGCCAGGTTAATACAACCGAGTTTAGCCTCGAAATAATGGAAACATGGCAGAGAGCACAACAAAGAGTGCCGCACGGAGATTCCACCATATTTCTGAGCTTTTCAATTCCCTTGTCATCTTCAAGTTTCAACGAGTCCCGGCCGCGATCCGCAAGGAAAACTTGATAGTGGGATGACGTCTATTTTACAGAATGCTGCTACCGCCTCCAGCCTTTTTTAATTTTTTTAGCAGAGAGCTCTTTCCACTCCGTCAGTGTCACCAGGTCGTCCGCCTCTCTGTTCAGTGATGATCAAGTAACTCTCCGATCCGCACGCTTTATGGCGTCTCCAAGGCAAAATTAATTCGCCTTGAAAATAAGAAATTGCAGCTCCAAATTAAAAGAAGAGGGGGTTGGTAAGCTTTGCTTAATGAGGTCTTGAAGGTGGTAACAACTGAAGCCTACCCGTAGTCCGAATTTGCGACGAAGTGTTGCGAACGCAGTGATACAACCGTAATGCGAAGCAGCCTTTTGTCCACCACTCATGCCGTCCTGCTAAAATACAAGAAGTAAACATTTTTCAATTCTAGCTTAATTTAGTCACCAAGGAATTCCTCTTTATTAAGAACAATTAAATTCACTATAGTGTCGACTTGGTCCGCCTGTGATTGCGGGTCCGCAGTGGAGCTGCTGGAACACTCTCCCATACCAGAGACATCAGTGTTCGCGTTACCCATGGCCAATTCGGAGAGATGCTGCAGTCGGAGGTTCTCTTTAACCCCTCTCGCGTGCTCCCACCGGTATCGTGCCACCATCGCACCGCAGTTGACCGCAAAAATCAGCGCAATGAGGATGAAGAGACCAAGAAGGATGTACATTATGAGCTCCAGAGCTGGACGATGCCCACTTTCCGCACCAACGGGATCATCGCTGCCCTTCCCGCCGCTCTCACTCCCTTCGGATAGCTTAACTGCAGCCTCGTTAAGACTGCTATCGGCGTTGGGACGGTCCACGAAAACGTCCTGCTCTTTGGTCACCTTCTTTGCCGATGCCTTATCGACAGGGTCAGGGTGGAGGGGTCGTTGGTAGGGCGATGTGGAACGCATTCCTGGTGCGTCTTTTAGTGCCGGAGAGCCGAATAACTCGGCTAGTTTCAAATCGTATGCTGACGGGTTCTGAAAAGTTGTTAAGAATTTATTCTTTCCAATTTTATCAATGTGAGTTAAGATTTCCCATTCAACCTTAAGGACAAGTTATTATCCCGTCGTTGGCAGCACTGAGGTAGAGGAATAATTAAAGATCTCTTTCCTCTCTCTTTCAAACTGATTTGTTCATAGGACCTACCAAAGTCGGAACTTGAAAGATGACGTCTACTTATCTATGCATGGATTTAAATGGATACGAATAATTACACCACGACTCCTTATTCGTCTTCTCGAGCTGCAGGTAAGGCACTTGTAAGGTCAAGCACCTCTCACCCAAGCCCATAAATCAAAGCATTGCAAGGCAATTCACTAATTAGCCACATCGCTGTCTTTGATGTTTCCGCGTGCCCGAACTGCTGCTCTAATGTTGATAGAATAGGCGCTTCGGGTTGTGACGTTGTGTAGGGACTGTGTCGGCTTTCATTCAACATAACTTCCACCTCGGTCCCGGCTCTGATCTTCCGCGCTACTCATTCGTTTCCACAGATCAAGCGAACAAATTTTTCGTTCACTGATATTCCAGCAGGGCAAGTTCGATTCAAAGCAGGACTTGAAACTTCAAAGGCTGCCATGGCGGTTCTGCAAGCAGCAGTAAATGACAAGAGAGCTTTATTGCTACCAGCCATTAATCAAGGTAGGAGGGAAGCTACAGTGGGAGAAAGAATTAAATTTTTCCAACTGAAGGCATATAACTCTCAGATATCTGTTCTAACATGCTCTGAGTTCGCTGCAAGAAACTGGTTATATGTTCATCCCTCTGCCGATCCCGGTAGAGACGGTTCACAGGCCACAGCCTCAGCTGCTATTCCTGTGCAAATTCAGCCGGTACAATCACCGGTAATCGTTACATTGTCTGCCACAAAGTTATCCAAGAGACTTAACTACCTGTGGGAATGGGGAAGGCAAATGTCCAGAAAAACTGTGATTACACTAGATCCTAGATTAAATAACTGGGAGCGCTTCATTTCTCCTGAATAACCCGTGATCCCACCACTAAAGCAACTCGGTTCTAAGTGATTCCCATCTGTTTGAAACTGTGAGTACGTTGAAAGCCGGTATTTCAATGAGACAGCCTGGTCGTATTAAGGGTTGAAGGGGTCCGCAAATTTATTCAATTTCCACTTCATAAGTTCTTTTCTCCTCTTTCATTCACTCCAAATCCCTCAGTGGATTCAAAAACTTCTCCTAGCTGTATGGCCTGAAGTGGTTGGTTCTACATTTCTATATTTCAAATTCCCTTAAGCCAAAGTGGTAATGCAACAGAAAAGCAGGAACACTTAAATTAACCCTTACCTGTTGCGTTTCCAACGGCTCAGAAAGAGGATTCCACCCACGACCATTGACACGTTTCCATTGAGACGCCGCTGCCGCGGATGTTTCGGCAATATTGTCCAACTGGTCATCTGTCGGGTTGCCACCGCCACCTCCAACATCGTTGTCGTCCTCATCAGCGTCATGAGTTCCACCTTCAACTTCTGGGTTGGGCCAAAACCGGGATGGGAGAGGACGCAACCCTTCGACTGCGACGTGTGTGGCGGAGGTTTTCTGCCCCTCCCAGTGATTGGGTCGCTGCAGCCACTCCCCCCCAGCCCCATCTGCTCCTTCTCTCACCTCGTCCTCACCACGACGACGGCTAGGGCGGGCTGCCACGATGCTGGCGTGGACTGGTGCGGAGAAGAGGAGGCTGTTGTCTATGTTGGAGCGGAGATTGACTCGCAGAAGATCCCCTGTTTGGCGGAAATATGGCCTTTAATAACAGACCGCCATTTAAGATACAGGATTTTGTTATGGGAGGATAATCTCCCAACCCTACTGTAAGTGCTATGATAGTGACGGAATGAGACAATGAGTTACCCCCTTGATAGCAAAAGGGTAAAGCTTCCCGCAGCCACTGAACTTCCTTGTTGCGCTATCCAACTGCCGTCGGTAAGGCTACATAAAATCTTCTGAATGGAATGCCAAAAAGGGATACATCTGGGGTGCTGGTCATCACAACTTCACAAATGTGGTATTATACCCTCCCTTTTTACACAGACAGCCTGATTCATTGAAGTCGAAATTTTTAAAACTGCAAATGTCAAGTGACAATGGTCTCGGTTGAATGCAACGAAGGTGATTAGTTGAGAAAAACCATCTTTTCCTCGCCTCTTTGGTCATCCGACTAGGCGCTGCAGCAGTTGGCTCTATTCGTATGCATTTTACCGCTTTTAGCCTGACTCTACTCACCAAAACTAAAAGCATTAATGTGAGATATTATAAAATAGATTATCAGAGGTTTTAAAGCTTAAAAAGAGATTACAGTACATTATGATCAGAGACTGTGAGGTAAGCTATTGGAAGAACCTTTTTTTGCCTCAGCAATCAGACACATATCGTCCATAAGGATTAGACTGCCGAACGCCGAACATCTGCTCCCAGTGTTCTAAACGATTTAATTCATTCTTTAAGGAATAAATTATTCGACTTTATTGTTTTACGGTTAAAAAACAAAAAAGGGATGTTGCCGTGCCGGCGCTGCAAGCATTTCGAAGCATTAAAGATGCCCTATTGCACAATCATAGGGGGTGCAAATGTCATAGGCTAATCTAGACACCCTTAATCAAGATGGCGGGCAACAAATGCAATGCCGGTGGACATAAAATAGCGTGGGAGAATTCGCAAAGGTTGCCGTGAAATGAAGGCCTGAGATTGTAAATATTTACTCTTCGAAAGCTTTCAAGTACAATGTTGGACCCTCAGCACTAAGATTACTTACCGTACACCCGTCAGTGACCATTCGGTCTGTAATAATTTCCAACGGATCATTCGGGATGTCAGATAGACGCATCTTCAATCCGTGGTGAAATAGTTCAGGAGTGCAATCATTACCGTAGTAGTAGAAATTTTGAATAGGGCCTAGATTGCCTAGTAAGACAGCTTTCTGCTCTCAACCAGGACGAAAGAAAGGCTACTGCTCCTAAAGTGAGGTGAAAAAGCATTTAGACTCGGGCGGAGATTGCTTGAGTCGCACCATTAAACGGTGCAATATCCACAGATCCATCATTTCTTGCCACAATCGAGACAAGGATCACAACGGCGGAAACATAAAGTGGCCAGCATTTCCACATCAATGATAAAACGATAGGCACCATTTTAGGACATCAAAGTTGTACAGGTGCTACTTAAATGCATAATAAGTATTTGGGAAACAAGTGCATTTTCTACCCACCGAATAGTGTCCAGTTTGTCGTGAACTCTCGTTTTACCTCCCTTCCTTAATCAAAACTGCAAATAATCAAATCGATTCGAGATTGCCCACCTTTTAATTATCTTAATATATGCAATCAAAATGAAATAATGCAACATCTGACTAGAACGAAAGTGCAAAGACATTTTAAAGAACGTTGCAAGACTTCAATAAAATGAAAAGTGACAGTTCTCAGGAACAATTTACTTAAATTTCAAATGCAATGAGTGCTAAATGGCTTACTTTGTTTGTGACCACCACTTTGATTGGATGTTACGCATATTTAAAAGAATCTAGCATCAAACGATAGTTTACGATGAGGCTGGAGATGTCTGCGACCACAGAATAATGTTCCCACTCAATGCCCTAGAAGTTCCGGTTGATAGTGAATCTTTGAGCCTGCTCAAGAGTCGTGATCTTGCTCAGTCCTTCCTGATTGGCTGATATCAAGTGTACACTTATGCCCTGAGTGGACTGACCAGCACTTAAAGCCCAAGGTCAGTCAGTTACTATAGCTTCACCTACTCAGACCTAAACTCAAGCTCAGGCGGATCACACCAGCCAGTCCTTAGGATCGTATGTTTACGCCACACCGCCGTGCTGACTCATCTACATTGGCCGACAGACTTCTGCTGTCAACTTTTATATATCGATTATCTCATCTATTGATTATCAGGGTGGGAGATCGATAGGATCCGGGGCACTTGTGCGCTGGGGCCTCAGTTCATGTTAATCGAGAGCTCAGTCTACACCACGTGAGTAAGGCTGGATGATCTAAAACTTGAAAGCCCTCCTGGATGGAAGGAAAAAGAAAGCCTCGATTTTTACCATCACTGTACACATGAGCTCACCATTGGTGAATTAGCTAGGTAGAGAAGATTCACCAATAAATGACTCATCCTCTCGAAGTAGAAAGACTGTGGGGCCCAGCCACTCGGGTTGTTGCTGTGCCTTCTGCGTCGTATTCTTGGTCTCCATCGTCGCAGGGACATCACGATGGAAGGTGAACCATCGCGGGCCAACAGAGCGTTTTCGACGCGATGACGGTGGTGTTGGTACTGGCGGCAGTGGTAGTGGTGGCATGTCAACTCTGACAAGGTCTGGACGCAAGTTCTCTACTGCCAGCGTAAAGGGCGCTGTGGACTCGCCAAGCTCCCACACAACCTGACCACAAAAAAAGGTATAACACAGGAACCCAATAAATCCATGCAATAGGTTAGTGAGAATTTTGTTCCTCGTTTTTGTGACGGAAGAATTGACGCATTTTTCCCTTAGCAAATTGAGGCAAAGTAAAGCGGAAAAATGCTGTTAGGATAAGCCATCACGCGAACAAAGACATATTCCCCAATCCTAAAGATGTTTCTGAACAAATCTGATGAGATCTTCGGATTTAATTGAATAGTGGAAAATGTATTTACGATTTAATCCTTTACTGCTTTTCAAAGTCAAAAAGGGGTATCTAGTCGCCGTTGGCAATCACCCTTTGTTATGGAACGCCACAGTCGATCTGATACTTCTAGAATCCTAAAGTTTGTTTAATTGGTAAAATCAGTAAGGCTGTCAGGATATTTGGGGAAGAGTCTACGCCTTTACATATAGCATGATTCTCGACTAAAAACACCTCCATATTTACTTTTTTAAATAATACGATATAGTGCAGTCAGATATCATACATATAAGTAAAATACGTCACGTCTTTGTGCCGTATGCCTAAGGTAGGAAAGCCAGGTAGTCACATATGTCTGACGCTGGTAGCAAGAGTACCAGGAGGGCCATCAATCAGTGTGTCCACAAAATAAAGGAAGTTGTGGCCTGAGATACGTAATTTAAACTCACATCAGAGGCCAGATTAAAATTAAAAGTGGCGTTTTTGAATGCAGAGCATTCTTGCGGCCAAGAGATTCAGCAATTAATTTCCCATTCGTTAACCGTAGCAAGGTAAGCAAAATAGATATTCATCTACCTAGAGTAGTGAAGAACAGTTTATAAATAGGCGCCAGTTTCTATCTGTATACATCTCTTAAGCTAGTTAGAAAGATTTCCACGGTTCATAGTAGTATTCAGTTTGAAATACACCTTCTATGCAAGTCTAAGAAGTATGAAACGCTTGAGCAAAAGGAAATGCTCAAGTCTGAGATTGAAGGTGGGCGTACATACCTCCATAATACGGTGCCAGGGAAGGACAGAGCCATCAGAGAATTGAACGGTCACAACGAGCAATCCCTGTCGTGGTAGAGTTTTTGTCACAAGTTGACGTTTCACACGTTGAAGGAGGGGAATTGGCTCCTTTGTTGGAAGGCGAAAGCGTCCGGTGAATTGGCACCACCCGAATTCGATGTCATCGGAACGCTCTTGCTTCGGCCAACCCGACTACCGGAAAATCGAATGTGCGCAGTATAAAAGGTGAAACCTGAGTCCGCCGCTTTCTCTCGGTCTAGGGATTGGTGGTAGGAGGCTGTGCTCCCGGAAGGAAGCTTGCCCTCTGAGCGATCTTGTTGGGTAACAGTTACGGTGAGATCTGTGACAATATAAGCGCGGATCAATTTAATGCCTTAAAATTAGCGAAATCAAGTCCAATCTTCCCCCTTCTTTGAATAAAGTGAGAAAGGAAACCTTTTAGGACAAAAAAAATTTGCTAAACTCTTCCTCTTGTGTAGTTGTGAGTAATATGGAAATTGTGACAAAAGATTAATGACTTCTGCCACTTCAAATCTGTCAGCAACTAAACTAATGATCGAGCAGCATTGAGGCTTTCTTGAACTACTAGAAAATCAGTTGAGTTAATCGTAAGGTGTAAATCGAAAGAGGCTAATACCTGTGACAAGTTGAGCTGTAATCCCAACCGGCCAGACCCAGCCATTGTCCGTCACCGTGACCCAGAGGGTCTGAAACTGCTGCCTGTCCCATGTGGCACCACTTCCACTGCGCTTCACCTGATTCTGATGTTTTCTCAAACGGGCTAAAGATGTAGGCAAAGCAGCCCTGACGAGGGACGAATCAGCAATGGAGGCGAGCCTGACACGAACTCGCCCCGGTCTCTGACCCACCAACCAGACACGGGTCGCCGTCTGGGCGTCACCAGTCTCCTTCGCGTCTTTGCGTTTGCCAACTAGGACTAGACGAGCTGGAGTGGTCATATCATCGTCAATGTTGAGTGCGGCAACGACCTCATTGGTGAATTCCAGGCGAAGGCAGTGGGCGGTTAGGTCGGTGACGTCTAGCGGTGGGCTTATGGAAACCTCCTCCTCGGAGGAGGAATGTGAATACTCATCCGCAGAGGTTATTCGAGTATTCGCTGTAGTGAATCTGAAACAAATGGATGACAATATTCCTAAAAGTAACTTTATCAACGATTCGTCAAGTCTGAGTCCTTCAACTTCTCCGTACTTTGGCCTAAACCTTAGTGAGAGGGGACCTGGTCCTGCTAACTCAACTGCACTCCTTGCAAAACTTCTGTACGTCCATGCTACGCCTTTGAAGCAGATATTTTTGAAACATCTACCTCACTTTTTTGTGCCAAGTCAGACAATTTCTCTTTTTTGGTGGAATAATGAAAAAAGGCCATAAAATAACCTCTGTAATGAACATTGCTGTCCCCATTATAGATGGTTCATAAAATAAACTTTTTACCAAGCTTTGTGGGGTAGATTGATCGTCTGGCGTTCAAAGTAGAACGTGCTTTCCTCTATCTTCTAGATCAGATAAACAAGGAACCCTTTTAAAAATCCCTCTCGCTTAAAAAAGCTATTAAGGGAAAGGATGGGAGGAAAAGGAGGTGTTCTTGAGCCATCCATGCAAAACCTTTCATCCAATACCCCTTTGCCTTTTGCCCCGTTATGGAGAAAAGGAATACGGTGCGGGGTCAAGAATATTCCCAGCCACAAATAAAGCAGCCTAGCAACTAACTGAAACACCGCTTTTGGATACATCAAGGGATTCTTGACTTTCATTTTGAGAAAGACTGCTCCAACCCGTTTCCTTTAAAAAAAAACAAATCTAAATTTGGCAGTTACAAAGCCGTTTAGGCGTAATTGCAGGGCAAAAAAGGGGAACAAAAAAAGCTGCAGCTGCACATTAATGCAATGCTCCTCACAGTAACCAAAGGTGGCTATTTTGATGGCATACGCGGCATGGGGGGAAATAGGCATCACCACCACCACCGCCTCCATTCTCCTCCTCCTGCTGCTGCTGCTGGGCAAAGGCCTACTCTTCTGCCTTCAAGAGCGTGTCAAGCTCACGTCCGCACCATCCCAAAATAGGCAGCCAATGGGAGCGCGTCGAAGCGGCTTCAAATGGCCCGCCGTACACGCGCACTCCCTGCCTCGGGGGTTATCGATCCGGTTTGAGCGCGCAAGCAATTGCATTGAGTTGAGCTCAAGCGTATTGAAAGTCGGGAGCGGAGGAGGCGGTGGCGGCGGTGCAGGCCAGACCCGGAGGCGAAAAAGGGAGATGGTGGCCTGCTTATCCCAAAAATTCCTCTTTCTATGGGCGATATTTCCTAAGGCCTTAGTGAATAGAAGGGACACTAAGAGTAGAAGAGAGAAGTGAAGGAGTTTTTTTGGTGTTAAAAAGAGTTCTTTTTTACCCTGGCTTAAGCCAGAGCGAAATATGATCGTGTTTGGAGGGCTTCACACCGATACCCCGCACTGACCCGGGCCTGCGCAGAAGGGTGACCCGGTTGAGGGATAACGAGACCGCGTGATGCACATACACACGCACACAAAGGGTTTCAAGCCTAACCCCCCCCTTCCCCTCCAACCGATGGGTTTGGGATCAATTTCAGTGGAAGCGTTGCTCAAACTTTAATGGAATCTCACCTGTCCCCCTCAAATTTATCGACCAGCTTCTCAAGGACAAATGCATCTTATTGGTTGTTGGCTCATTCATTAATCCTCCTCTTTCCCCACGAAAAGGCAATGAGCCATTCCGAGGGGTTTTTGCTACTCAAAATACAACTGTTTTTGGTTTTTAGGGTAAACAAAAGAAACTCTCCACTGAGATGTGGTAATTAACCCGCCAGGCCAGTTAGTTATTGCCAGTAGTTACCCGTTACATTACCTGGTCAGATTTATTTGCATCCGATGTAGAAGTTATTTTTATCCGAGCGAGGTCCAGAACAAACGACTGGATGGTAGTAAAATGTCAATGAAGTGAAAAGGAGGGAATGTAATTAATATGAAATGCTGGAGGTGCCTAGTTAACTAAACGAATTCTCTTTCGCCCTGAAAAGCTGTTTGAAGCTGGTATATAAATGTTTCGGAACCTCCTATTAAATCGATCAAATTTTCTGGGTGGATTTTCTGTCCTGTCTCCTGGTCAACTTCCAATCATCAGAATGCCTCTGTAAAGGGGCCCCCATTTTCGGTCACCTTGGTGGATGCGTGAGTGTTTACCATCATTTGTGACCTGCCATCGTTACTAGACTTTTAGCTCTTCTCCATACTTATTACCAAGACAATTTCAGAGGATTACGCATTATAGCATCTTCAGGAAGGACCTCCTAAGCTACATATCCTTAGGGGCGACTGCCCTCGGGGCCGCGAGATTGAATGAACGTTCTCCAAACGCACATAACCTTGACGCCTGTAAAAGGACGTCCCTACCTATCCCGACTACTCGTTTGAAGGGTCTGAAGGCTAGGGTGGAAGGAAGAAACACAGAATCTTCTTATGGTGGGAGCTGGTGTTTACACTCTCCGCTCAGAGAGGTGATGAAGTTGAGATACCATGGGCACTTTTTCCCAAATGGGATTATTTAAATATTAAAAGCCACATTCCTACTCCCAGTAGAACCGCCAAAGCTCCTGCCATTAATAAATTCAGAGCCAAAGATTACTTTTTATAAACTCAACTTTCATTGGTGGAGAAGGTGTATCCACCGCTTTCAATTGTATCTGAACTTTTTTTCACCGTTTTACCTAAATAATGGATAAATCATTTGCAAATTTAATGGGAAGTGCTCTCTTGGGCCTGTTAATACGATGTTATTAATAGAAGTACCTTGGACCAAATCGCAGCATGGCATAAACAATTTACATGTGGCATCTCACCATGCGGTTGGAGCAAGTGGGTACACGTTCTGGTGGCGGAGGAGGCACCATCCACCACATAGTGGAGCTACTAATGTAATCCTTAAATACGCACGCTGGTAGGCGAGACACGTGATTGTTGTCAGAACATAAAAGTGACACTTTGGCTGCATAGACGCCAAGAATGAGGATTTGGGGATTTGTATGCTCACTTGAGAAATTATTCTGGTACAAACGTTGCCCTACCACGCTACTTTTTAAACAATAATTAAAAAGCATCTTTTTTTAAACGACTTAGGGAGAGTGAGGCGATTGGGTTAATGAGAAGCCGCAGATGGCTATAAATAACCTACTTCCAACTATTAGGGCAATAACTCACCGCGCAAAAACTCGCAACCGAGTTTGTTGGAAATGCGGAATGGAGGCGGTCATTTGTGAGCTACTTGAAAGCTGTGCCGCCTGCTGAGAGCTAAAGTGGAAAAAAAATATAATGAGGAGAGTTAATAGGCCACCGCTCTTCCCCCCAAGGGGAACTTAGCGGGGCATCACCACAACGGAGGCAGCGTAAATGGCATGACGGCTTTCGAACAGGAGCTGTAGAGAGAGCAAAGGCCCACTTAAGGTACCGACCTACAGGAAGGGCATCTCCTGGAGATAATTGAACCTCCAAGGACTCACAGTGGAAGGACTCAGAAGAATAGCGCTAAAAGGAGAGATTAACTACACCCAGATCTGAGGTGGTGCCTACCACACAGTTTTATTCAACTTGATCATAGCAGAAGAGGGATTACAGAGGGCATAGAGGTTAGAATTTCTCCTTATCTCCCATGACTCTGCCTCCTTGCCAGTGGCAAAGAGCTCTCCCACTAGTCTGGCGTTTTTTGGGGTAGGCGGCGAAGTTCTACGTAAATTGGGAAAAGCGGCCCGAAGGGACTATAAGCTGGTGTCCGAATCTGGGTGGCCTTGGACGAGCGTCCAGAGGTGAAAAATAAGGTCCGCTCCCGAGAAATTATTAACTCGGTCAAGAGCCTCTGCTATTATCAACTAAAAGGTGGCTATTTAACATCAAAAATAAATCTTAATTGCAGCCCTACCCAAGAAAAGTAAAGTCAGTGGCCGTTCTTCCAGTTTATATGCACTGATTGCCAATGCAAAGATTGTTTAGATCAAACCAGGACTTGTGCACTTGTGTACTTTTTTCCCACAAATGTCAATGAAGCTAGCCCGGTCTTCTTTGGCATTGGCGACTTGATGTTCGGCGTCCCTCAACCTTTTGACCTCACGGATGTTTGATAATGACCGCGTTTATTCTCTTTCACAGACAAATTCGTCTCTCCTGCAATACCAATACGGATGGTCGTAGGAATGGTAGACGTGTTGCCGTCTGTGAAGGAAACCACCAAGGCTTGGCTCATCGTTGACTGCCGGAGGTGCGACTGGCTGTGCCTGACATGCCTACCTCATTCGAATGTCAAGCATGGAGCTTGAGGTTGGCTGTAGATGCATCCAATCGAATTTTAACGCCTCGCCTTCTTTGGCAGCGACGGCTCGTCATCACATGATGTTTTATGCATGTGCCCTCAACTAGCCTTGTCAAACATCCAGATTTGTGTCTACTTGACATAAGGAACCATCACCCTTTTTAGGGCAGAAAAGGAGGTGGGAAAACCGATTCAAAGCAAGTGACAGGTGATCAGTAGCCTGGGTGACAGTAAAAACGAGATTGTGCGCTCACTCAGCCAAAGAGCGAAGCATAATTGAGGTGGTGGAGTATTCATGCAGCAAATGTGTCCCCGTAGCAGCAGCACTGGTGCTGGAAACAGAAGTCGGTCCCTCCCGAGGATTCTCAATGACCAGGTAGACACCATGGGGTTGCTGAGGAAACCACACGGTGACTAGTTCAGCGGCACTGGTTCGGTCTACCTTGGCTACGAGAGTGAGACCCTCGGAGCCGCCTAGTTCACCTCCCGAGAAGGTGAGACCGGCGGAGCAAGATTCCCGCGGAAAATGAGCCACTGATTCGTCGTTGGTATGGCAAGTGGAATGGGCTGTGACATCGCGCAATTCGTGACCGTGGGTTAGACCGAACACCCACACAGGGTGGTGAGTGGGATAACCAGAAAGGACGGCAGTGTTTACCAAGGAGGTGGACTGAAAAAGAAGAAGAGCTGGCCATATTTATACCCACATTATGGTCAAATGGGGGGTGATTTTACGCCAACCCGCCACCTAGTTTTCTAGACATTCAAAGCTGCATTCAAGATCACTTCAAGGTATGCACTCTTGACACCTCAATAAGATATTTCCGATGTTTTCACTCTTGAAGAGAGTAAAACGACTTTCAATGATGCTTCAACAAGAGCTTATAGACAAAGCTAGTAGATAAAATGACGAAGGAACAACAGCGGAAGGGACACCAAAATCATGTCAACTTTCAGCAACCATCCTACCCTTAAGCTCTGGAAAATAGGGATGATGATAAGGAAGACAAAACCGGTGTCTCCCTCTCCCCTATCCCATTCAATTCTTCTGTTAAAATCTTTTCACATGTAAGTTTGTTGCGGTGTAGAGTGTTGTCTTGTGCCGTCATGATGAGGTAAGGATAGGACTTACCCCTCAATGATTGACTAGTCTTAGCTGTGTCTGAAGAAAGGATCTTTCCTATACGCCTTCGAGTTGTGACCTACGAAGGAGATTGACTTCAGCCGTGAATGTGTGTCCTTCAGAGAGGACTTTGAGGTGAGCGATCCATTCTCTGGTGCGCTACACAAGCATTTATGCGCACAGAGCATGAAAAGCCTTCTAAGGGGGAGTGGTGAATGGATCGTTTGGAAGTAGTCAATGTTTTGCTTGTTTGCTCAGTGAAAGTCAAAATCCGAAAGCACGAGACGCTTTCTCATCACGTATTTATCCATAGGCCGGTAATCGCAGACGCACGGCACATTTCAAAGATACTGAGAGTCTTTGAAACTTCTTGCCACCTATTAGTTTAACTTCCACAACTTTCTCCACGATAACGATGCTGTAAGTCTTTAACACGGGAATTTTAAATCAACCTATCATTTGTGACCCTTATTCTTAACGATCAAGAATGGAGAGTCTTTTTGAAAGTGATACATCACGCTAATCAATCCAAAGGGTAGGTTCTACCATTACTTGCCAAGCCTTTTCCGAAATCCATCCAACCGATTTTACAAGAATGTTATTCGAGTTTAGAACCAAGTCAAAGTTCTTTTGTGGAGCAGGCCAAACCCACATTGCATTCAACAAGTTCAAAATTGAGGGGAGGAGAGAGGGGAAAACACAAAGGTACCTTCCTGATAGACCGACGCATATCTTTAGTTTATAATGCACCTCACCACTCCACTGTGAGCTAAAAGAAGGCATCGGAGGAGGGGGCGCCAAACCTTCCCCTTGATGAGAGAAGAAGAGGGTAGATCAAATGGACCATTACAGTGTGAAAAAGAGGAAGGAAATCAGGACGTAACTCCAGGAATCTCCTCCTAATTCCTCATTTCATTACAGTTTTTTAACTTCTGTCAGCGTTTTTATGCAAAACCTGCAGCAGTCCAAGGCAAAACTCCTCGGACAATTCTTTGTGGTGCAGTTTATCGGCTTAGAAAGCGACTTTTGGCAGGAATTTAGCCTCCTGGAGGAGAGTACCATGCTCCACTTTTAGTCCTTTTGTGTGCTACCCTGAAACTCGTATTACATTATGCAGTCATCCGCGGTAGGCCGAATGCTACAACACCACCGCCTTCAAGCTAGAATTTTAAATGGACAGATAAAAAATAACTGGAATGGATCTTGATTTATGCGATCGTAAAAATATCAGGTGAACTACAGCAAGGCAGTAGGCTAAACTTCAACACAACCGAGCAAAAGTTAAACAAGAAGCCGACTCAACATGGAGGTCTGGCCGAGGTCAAATGAGTGTGCTTAGTAGTGTAGGAGAAAAAGGCACCAGGACTCAAAAAAAAACTAATAAATGGCAGTTCGAACGATCAAACCCCGCTGTTGACTTGGAGAATTACTACTCCAACCGAATTGTTCAAGTCTCGTCAAGCAGTCAGTCGGTCTTTCTCCTGGCAAATGCAGTCCTGTGATTTTATCACCTCTCCGCTGTCATTCGCAGGCACTGATGTGGAGTTCTATCGCCTGCAAGTTCTACTTGTTGTTGTATTTTGTGTTTTAATTAGCTAAATGCACTAATGTGGGCCAGGTATGCGTGTGTTTCTACTGCTGTCCTAATGAAACCGAGATTGAGCGGACAATGCCATTCCTTTCTACCCCAACTTTTCACGTAACAGAGGCAAAGGACAGAGAAGGACAAGCGAGAAGGGCAAAAGATAGATGACAGCTATTAGATCAGTCAGTTGATTGGTTGATTTATTTGATGGGATGCTATTGTGAAGAGACAATTAGTGGGACTAAATCATCTCAGGTGGGAAATTTAGCAGATCCGCAAATATGTTGTCAGTCTTTCCACACCTTATTCACTCCATTCGGGTTTCTGATGTTGCACCTCTTGCTTGATATTCATTTTAGAATTGTAGAACACCGTCAGGTCTCCAGCACTACCAATCAAATCGTCATCTTCAGAGTACTACTTCCGACCGGAAATTCAATGGAGGAAGCTCATTTGAATTCTTGTTATTACAATCTCGCTGAAGTTACAACTAGGGTCCTCGAGAACAAAACCCAAGGGGTGGGCAAGCACACCCAATTCTGGTCATGAATGAGAAGTACCATGCAGGAGCAAGATAACTTACAACTTCTTGCCCCCCGGATAGAATAAACACTCAATTTTTCTCTAAACAAAGCGGATGGGCGAAAAAAGGCATCTTCTGTCACTTTCTGCCAAATAACGTATGGGTTGGTGTTGACATTAGGTGTGCAATATTAATGCAGCAATTAATTGCGCCGCCTACAGCATTGATGGAAAACATTCCACCATTCCGTAAACCCCAACCCCCCCTCCTGACCTCTCCTGTGATCCCGAGAATTCTGTGGCTAGGTAATGATTGCATTTCTTCTAATCGGACATTTGGATCACAGCCAGCCGACTGGCCACCGGACTGGTTTGCAGCATTTTGGAATAGCAGAGCGGCCTCCACAAAAATGACCCTCTTGTACTTATTTCGGTCAAAGTGAACCTGTAATTAAATTACTGATTACCTAAGCTTGCTTTTTCCCCAGGTACCCTCTTTCTTCTCCACTCTCTGTGCAGTATTCACTTCCGCTTGGCAGTAAAACTCTCTAGCAATGCTTCTAACTCCCTACCCCATTCGTACGTTGGTAAGTCGCCCGCATTGGTGTGACCTGTCACAACTTCAGGGAAGACTAGTAAAGTTCTTCGCAGAAAAACAAACACTCTATCCCTTTAGTTGGCCTAAATAAAACAAAATGGGGAAGATCTAAGTCATAAATAAATGAATTTAACTTTGTGGGATAAAAGAAGTCCTAATCCTCTCGTGTTGACTGAGCCTTTAAATTGCCTTCGCAGAACAACTACCTTCCACATTCTCGTAAATTTTGACCACAAAAGTGGCGGATTTTGATTTGATTTTCAGATGTTAAGTTATTTCAGTGCATAATCTTGCTTGATTTGGTGCAACTAATTAACACAAATGTGTAAGGAACTAGTGTCACATATTTGTGACGCCAGGCTTAGGTAAAAAATTGGGGGACTACATATACGCATCGCTAGTATCAGATGTATTCAAAATGAATGTTGCAAGCAGAATATATGTATATATCTTTTATTACCATGTCTTAAGGTTCTACAAGACTAGACCCCCTCAAATACCAATCCCTATGGCAGCTAGTATAGAGCTGTTTATTCACACTTCGAAGCAGTCCTGACGCCCTTTGATCACAAAGAGGCATAAACCCCAGGGCCCTACCTTAATCACCAATGCAAGATGCTTGAACTCAAAGGACTCAATGTTGAGCCGTGTGACGATGGGACTGCCACTTGCTGATTGGTCGACAGTGTTGCGTCTCGAGAGGCTGACCAGACTCCAGAGAAATCGAGGTCCTATGCGTCCAACCGAGTCTTTCGGAGGTAGAGCCACGCGAAATAGCAGCTTGTAAATGATTGGATCGTCTCTGGAAGAGAAAAAGTGAATGCTACTGAGTAGTATTGACAGGTGATGGGTGCACTGGGCTTTTTGGGCTGGATGATACCTAGACTTAAGAGCACAACCAAACAGAGTGCTCGAAGGAGCTTCAAGGTATGAAGTTGATTAGAACAGGGATTAGTGTCATCCAGAGGCCTATTTTTAGGTACTAGGGACTGGAAACAGTGACAACTCGCAATCACGCTCAGTTAAACCTGTCTTCATAATGTTGTCGCCCTATTTACAGTCCCATTTCAATGAGTCTCTCAAAACCGTGACATTTTGAAGTTATTTTTTTTTCTACCGAGAAACTGCTGGTGAATATTGATTTAATTATGAAATTTCAGAGGGAAACCGACTCTTCACAGTCCAAAACCCACTTGCTTTGCAAAAAAGCGCGCTTTTTGTCCCAGAGTGGGAAAGCGAAACAGTGAGAGTGAGAGAGAGGTGGCATAAAGCGGGAAAGTGAACGCATTAAAAGGGCAAAATTACTTCCCCTCACGGAAGTCGGCAGGAGATAGGAGAAAGTGGCTTTGCACAATCGAGTAGGGGAAGCCATTTCTTTTTCCATCCACACAAATCATGTCTGACGGTAACGAGACTAAGGCCAAGTGGTGAGAAAAGGAACCTTCCGATTGGTGTTTCAGTTAGCCTACAACTTGCTGGTGTGGTGAATCTTGACTTGCGAAAGGCAAGCAGATGGTCATAACGATGATTAGACCTTTACCACTGACCTCTGACCTCGACAGTAATTAAATGATTGTGTGTATGTCTGCTTTAAGTTAACCCAAGCACACTCAGCAAAGACGTATTTTAGCGATGGAAGGGATCTCTCCTAGCTAAGGAAGGAGAATACCTAGACGTATTCGAATTGTATGCAGCAATCTTACACAAAATCGGCCTTCATGATGGTGATACGGAGCCCTCCTCACATCATCAGCGCCTATAACAGGGCTTCTCGCTGACCGGTATGCCTTGCAATGCCCTCAGAGAGGTAGGGGTAATTGTGCAATGGATTAGGCAGATATTGACCTTGGTTGGAATTAATAGGGAGCCACAAGTTAGTCGCCATGGTTTCTGCACACGCAGTGCGTGCCATCCAATTAATCATACGAAGGTCACTGCAATCAAAGCCCCATAATGGCAATAAAACTAGGCAAATGAACGGTGTTCGAGTTTGCGAAAGGCGAGAAATTTTGTCAGAGTTATAGGCAAATCGCCTCCCTCCGGTCTTTTATTTTTCGTGTGTACTATCTGCGCCACATATGGTTAGCGTATTCCTTCGTAAAGCGTCCCATGCAAGATTAATCTATTCACTGAGCTAAACAAGGGAAATTAAACCTGTAAGAGTGAAAATTTGCGGTATCGCATCCATCTAAGGAGTTCAAGGGGCACCTCTTCGACAGACAAATTCACCATTTACCACCAATGCGACAGAAGGATGAGAGACCTGATTTGAGATATTGCTGGAGAGGGGTTATGACAATGACTGAAACGGATCGCTTTTTACAGGATATATTTATTGGATTAGATGAACTAATATGATATTAGCTATTAAGACAAACTTGATTAATCAAAAGAACGTCATCCAAGGAGCCATTTAATGTTTATCAGGGGTTAAATAGAGCCTATTCGAAAGGTGAATTAGCCTATGGCCGCAAATGACAGCTAAATCAAGGTCGGGAAGAAGGGGAGTTATGAGTGCTAAAATTGATCTGTTTTTGAGCGGTTCAATCGATTAATTCAGGCGAACCAATAGAATGTCTTCAAATAGGGCGGAAGTGATTGGTCGAAAATGTCATCTAAGGTGTCGCGGAACGTTTGCCGGGGGTTCACAAAGTTTTTTTCCGACAGATGAAATCACTGTTGATCGCAAATGAGAAAGATGTGTGAGAGGTCTAAATTAAGGTGGGATGAAGAGGAATCACGTAAGTATATAAATACGATCTCCTTTTGGGGTTATTTCGATCGAATAAGACGAACCAATAGGATGTTGGGGATTGAGACAGAAGTGATAGGTCACATAGCGTTTATTGAGAGTTTAAGAAGCCTTTCTTTCGACAAGTGAATTGACCCTTGATCTTTAATGAGACAGGTGCATGAAAGATTTGAATTGGGATCAGGATGAAATCGATCGCTTTTTGAGGCCCATATTGATCGAATTAGGCGAGCCAATAGAATGTTTGCGACTAGGACAAATATAATTGGCCAATTTGGTGGAGTTGGCTGCAAGCACTGAGCTCAAGCCTGCAGACAGTAGACTGGTTCCGGTAACCTTGGAAGAGTGTAATGGTCTTAGCTCTCCACAAAAGTCGGGATTTTGGACTAGGTTTACTAGATCCTCTTCTTATTCCTTCACCTTTTATTCGAAGTCGGGCAACTTAGCTGTAATAAAATGCGACTTAACCACTTAAGAATTGTAGATAATGCATATTTACAGGTTCTTCAAATTTTTAGCCTATTCTTTAAAGAATTCCCGTGAATTACTACCCACAGGTGACTTAACTTCACAAAAAAACCGTTAGGGAATGAGGAAAAGCCGCTCGGTTTTAACAAGGCTTCCCTCAATTTCCCTCCACATAAGCGAATTTATTCACTATCCTTTGTAACAGGTTACTTGGTGAAATGGAAACCTACGCTCGTGGAAAATAGAATTTTGAGAAAAGCTAAAAAAGAACAATTTTACATGACCCATAAAACCAAGGCTAGAAGATGGTTCCAATGTTGGAGCACAGATTTCTTCCAATTTCCCCACAACATGTGTAAATACGGTATGCCCTGGGATTACTCAAAAGGTGGAGAGGGATCCAGCTGAACGACCATAAGATATAAAAACGACAGTAAATTTGAGGGAAGAAATGAGATGAGAAACTGCTCCAATGGGGAAAGAGTTTTTCTTGTGACAAATGGGGCCGAGAAAAGGGTGCCCTATTACACCATTTTCTGCATAAAACTCTCTCCACTGTAAATTTCTACAAGACAAATCCGAGCCCTTGGATTTGGTGGTTGTTATTTTGACGCGAAAGGGGAATACAGCGATCCTTCAGCCAAATAAACAGCCTTTTCGCTGCCCGGAGCTTTCCAGTCTACTGCAAGGTGACCTCCATGTTGGTGGCAAAAGCCGCTGACCAAGTCACCAAGTCCTTCATTCCACCTTCAGGGGAGGCGGGAGGGATAAAGTGTGGTACAAACTTTGAATGTCACATTGTTTTTTTTTTCAATTTTCCCTCTAGCGATGGCATCGAATAATATATTTTTTTCTTTCCCAGTTACGAAAGTAAAATCAACATAACCGAGGAGGGTGACGCGTGACAAGGCGTGTGGGTACAGTCTACATTGGGTATTTTTGGGTGACGATGGTCAACTTCACCAGAGCTTAACCACGCCCTATTTATGGCTTTCCTATCTCAGATAGCCGCGTATTTTCAGACAGAAGAGTGATTAAGTCAGTAAAGGATGATAATAAAACGTCAAAACTGTCCAATCGTCTTCCAAAGCAACTCTAAAAGACGCATGCGAGAGACAGGAGAGCGAGAGAACCTGAGAGGGTGCCGAAAAGACCTCTGTCCAGTTTGAGGGGCGACCGTCCACGCCACAGAGAGGTGGGGGTGGGAAGTGCTGTAATGCTTATTTTCAGGTAAAAAATATTAACCCGCCCCGGATTTTATGGTCAGCAAGCAGATCCAAAGTGTCACCCACCACTTGCCCCTACGGCTCCGCGTGGGGTGTGCAAAGCTCATAAAAGAGGTGCACGACCTCGTCTGCAGTGTTTATCAACATTAAGTTTGGTATTTGTCAAGATAGAGGGTAACAAAAAGGACGATAAACCGTTTGCCGTCGACGCTCTACCTGCTGTTTCCAGTTGCCATTAGCAACCAAATAAGTGTTAAATTGGCGAGAAAATGTTTTGACACTACGCCTCTACATTCTGCTTTCTTGGGGAGAGAGGAGAGAAAAATCAAATTGTTGAAAATGTTAACTGCATCTGCAATTAAAATAAGCCGTGAAAATGTTTATTCATAGAGAAATTTGGGCCCAAAAAACAGGCAAATGAACAAGTGGACTGGCTAAGGCAAAGAAAGGAAGGAAAAGTGGAAATGGGATTAAAAACCTTGATAATAGTTTTTTCCCTCTGCTGAGCTAATGATAATTTACGGCTGCTTGTGCTTTTGATTTGGGGCTTGAAACCCCTCTGCGTTGCTCAGGTAACTTGGTAAACTGAGATGGAGGAGTCATGAACAAGAGGTATTCACCACTACCTGCTGGCACTGCCTATCTCTAACTCTGCGATTGAATTTTTCAAAAAAGTAAAAAGAGGAAGAAAGCTGTGAATCTGTAGACAGCTGTTGGAGTATGGGTTTGGAAAGGCGAGTTTATGCACTGGACCGTACAAAAGAGCAACAGGACACGTGTATGGTTAAAGAATTAAAGAAAAGCTTTCTTTTTGCGGAAAAAAGGATTAGCTTACGCATTTGTCACCAGCGTGGCATACGTATGACTCTGCAATTGCCCCTTACCTGGTCCCTCCGCGTCACACATACGTGACGCAGGTCTGTTTTCAGTTTGCAGTGACTAATGGGTGAAATCCACATTATTACAGTAATGGAATAGGGCTAAAACTTTTTTGATCGAAGAAACGTTGTATTTTGTGTTTTTGTGATCGGGGGTTAACAAGTGGGGGTGCATTTGACCTGTAAGGCATTTGGGTGGATATGGCGGTCGGTTTTCCTCTAAGACCTCGGCAGAAAACACGTACTAGCGACAAATTTGGCATTTTTAAACCACCTTTTAGCCCACACTTACCACTTTACTCACTGTGAGCTTAATATATCTCTATGAATAAAAAACCCGCTTAAGCGCACGCATTTCATTGGTGGTGTTTTTGTTTCCACCATAAAGGTCTAGCCTGCCTTCCCTCAAAAGAGCTCTTTCTCTATGAAACGCTTACAGCCAACATGGAACAAGAGGCAAGAAAGTGGACTCTTTGACCGAGACTTAACCCTCAGAGGGTTTGGGGGTCCAAAAACAGCCATGCATGTAGCCAGGGGAAGTTATGCCTGGAAAGGTAGAAGCGGGGTCGAGGAGAAGAGATAACATTTCTTCCCCTCAACAAATGCATCTGGGACGAAATCAGCTTGGCATTAGGCAGCTTTAATGCTGGCATTCCGGTAGCTCTGCAAATGCCAGGCAGAGAGGGCATTTGTCAATTTTCTTCCTGAGATGAACCACTTTAATGCTGTCCATGGAAGTCGACAAAATTCTGGCATCCCTCTTATACTGAAAAAGGAGCTATCTTTTCCAAGAACGAATGCGACTCCATTCTACCTTATACGACTTCTCCTCCTCAAGATGCCAAGATGACAATTGTGCTGCAAACTTTCCTCGATAAACTAGATGAGAAGCCTGTCAAAAACTGCACAAATTATTTAAAAAATTAGCATGACTTAAAGATCTGATAAGATTGGCGAATTTTACTGTCTCTGTGGTAGTCAGTCACAAGCTTTGTAGAAATGGGGGCGAAAAATTTGATCATACTCATGAGAGAGGAACGGAGAGAGGTTAAATAAATCGAAGTAGATGAAGTTAGCATCTCTTCAGGATTATTAACACCCGATCATCAAAATGGCATTTATGTTGGTGTCAAAAAATGAGAGTTCAATTGCCAAATTCCGAACTCCTACTCTCGGCTGTTGGAGGGTGTGTTTAAGTGCGATTTGTGGTTGTTAACTCCATTAAGCACCATCTTGGCCATTAAATTCATCCCTAAGGCTTGTCATATTAAGATGAATTAATAGTTATTTTAGAAAAAAAGTCAAAGCATATCTTCGCGCAAAAAGTCAAACCTGAAATGATCATTGGGACTAGGGTCAATGGCGGTCTCACGATATCGAGCCACTACCTCGGTGACATTACCCTTCAAACTCGGAATGTGACGTTGTGATATATCCCAAGCACTAAATCCATTGTTCATTTGCGAAAGACGGGCGTTCGTTTCTCGAATATTAGAGGAAGACTCATCGACCTCCCATGGCCAGACCACACGGACAAATTCAATGTAGGTTTTTGAGGGAATTTCACATCTACAAATAAATTGATGGAAGAAAGGGTTTAAAATGTCGAGTAAGGAACAGTTGCAAGTGAGTAAAACGTTATACCTTAACGTGAATTCGGCGATACTGGTGTGTTGCTTTACTCTCACGGGAACGTTAAAATATTCGCCATTCTTTAATCGACGTGATGGAATGTCTAAGCGAATGTTACGACCAATTTCCCGAATTTCGTCTCGTTGAGGTTTTTTAAGAGAGATTTTGGATAAGAACTTGAAGTTGGACATCTGTGTAGCTAGAGGCGTCCAGCATTGCCTTGAAAGTGCCGCAGAATCCATAAGTAAATTAACAGTGGAGGACTTCATATGCTGAACGGTATTTATCCTATAACTGACATCCAGTTCGTTATTCGTCGAATCATTCCAGGCTCTACTTTCGATTTGAATGGAGGCGTGACAAGCTGACCGGTTAGTAAAGGACAAATTATCTATTAAACATCCAGTAAAAAAGTGCCGATTGCTAGCAATGACTTTTATGATGCAACAAGTGCTCAAGTGTTGATTGTTTAAATTTTCCAGAAGATCAGGCGCCATCAGAGAGTGGCAGAGGAAGTGAAGAGTTGGATCATCTTCACCTAATTCCTTCTGAAACAAATGTACAGTAGTCAGTGGATGGCCATGAAAGTTATTTGCGTCCGGATTGATAGATGCGTTAACTCTCAAGTTTCCTACATTAATATTCAGTGACACATCATCAATATTTCCGACTGAAGCGAAATCCTGCATGTAAATAGACGTTTCTTTCGTAGAACCAGTATTAACAAAAAACGCAGCTCTGTTAGGAACAAATCCTGTGTTGATAACATCAATCTCAATTGTGTGAGTTACGAAGAGTCCGATCCAAAGAAGGAACAACGTTTCCCTCCCACCAACCATATTGTTAATACTTGCAAGCGCCAATAGATTATAGGAGTATTGCGCACATTGTCAGCAAAAGAGCGGATTTAGAATAAAATCGTGGGGTTACAAAGATATCAAAATACTATCATTGCACTGGGGAAATGAACAAGAATGCAATCAAAAGTGCATTAAGTCTCTCAAGGTCACAGGCAAACATGAGTAAATCTATGTCAACAAATATGCTTAAAGTATAAAAAAGACTTACCCTTTAAAGAGCAATTACCAACAATAAATAATCATCTGCAAACACGAAGTGCATACAAATATTGTCCTTTTTTAGAGGTATTTGGCAAAATAGCACTAAATGAAGCAATATTTCTACAACGTTCAGACAACGCTTTTGACCTCAGCAAATAATTAATCTATTTTCTGTGTACGTTTGCTCCTAAAAAGAGATCTACGCCGTTTCTTTGACAATTTAATGATGACAGAAACATTATCGAATGGTATTTGAGCACTATCCGTATTCCATATTATTACTGTAATAAGAAGAAACGGAGGAATATAGCCCATTTCCAAGTCACTATAGTAATTTTGCGAATGTTAAAATGGATTACTTTTGAGATGATAGATTCTATTACAATAGCGTGGTTATTTGTTTTGAAATGCATATCTGTTTATAAACTCAGTTCTAGAAAATCACTCATTGAGCGCAAAAATCACTGTGCAACAATCATTATCTCTCTTCGAGGGGTACATCTTGGACTGAGCATACCCTCATCACTGTATCCCGTTCAAATAATTACCCATAAATATGCCCCTAAAAAATAAGTTTACTAGCCCCAAGGGAATGACTGCACAGGAAGAAGAAATGAAACGTTAAATGCATCGTGATTAAATCCTTTGCTTTGGTTGCTCAGGCACTTATGATTCCACAGATTGAATTTTTGCTCAGCGGCTGGCCGGCAATGCATTTTCTGTTCCAGCGCTATTATTTTATCCTTCTTCAGGACGCTTTATTGATGTTGACAAAAAGCTTTACTGATCATTGAAGACACTTACCAAAGTCACCACAAAATACCCAACATTAGCGTGAGGAAAACCTGTGAAGATCCTTAAGAGTATGGTGATAATTTACCTCTGTCGGCGACAACAACACCAGCCACGTGGTCTACAGAAATGTTACTAACAATTGAAGTGACACTAGCTGTATCCGTGATCTACCTGAAGATTTATTACTGAACTTCCTATGGCACTTTAATAAAAAATGTCAATTAAGTTTAAATGTGACACTTCCCATATCTCCCTCAAAACTAGATAAAACCCACTTTAACCGATCTCCTTAGGATATTCCTCCTTCTTCCAGTACCCAAATGTAGAGTAACTTTAGGTCTAGTACATTCATTACAATAAATTATTGACTATGGAATCAATCACATTTAAAAATGTTGGCATATTTGGCAGCCGGTTTGGGTGAATTTTGTGTTTTGTCCCGAAACAACTTTATCGTAATGGTTGATATGGAAAAACGGCCAAGGAAGCGCCAGGGATGATGCTTTAAAAGAAAAGTCTTTTAATGATTTGACGGTTAGTTTAACTCCTCCTTTTGGTTAAGTGTGCACTTTGGGGTCTGCAGATTGAAATCTCGCTCGATGAAATGCCCTTGGACCATGATATATATTAGCCAGATCTTTTATGTAATAAACTGAATTTTGTCAGCATTCCAACTTTTTTTGCCTTTGGGATAGAGAAAGTATCCACCTAGCCAGTTCGAATCCCGCCTTACATTGCGGTCAAGTTACACATATAATTGTAATACCTTTAACCCCACCTGATCACAGTGCTTTTGGTTTTAACATATGTGCGTTAACTTAATTAATTAAAGCAGTATGACTACTGCGTTGATTCTTTTGCTCCAACCTTATTACTTAGATGAGAGGAATAGTGTAACTTGCAGGAAAATACCGTTTTTGGGTGCGAAAAATACTTTTACGCGGCGTAAATATTGTTTTGATGTTAAACTTTCTTGCTTTTTGCTGCTCTATTACATTGTTTTAAATAATTACACAAAATAATATTGATGATGACTTACTAGGTTGACAGTTTGGCCTCTAGGGCGCTATCCAATAATTCATTAGTTTGGGTTTCGAGGTTTACTTCGTGGGTATTAACAGGATGGAGATAGGGGATGATGCTACCGCTGTTGTAAATACGGAGCCAGTAAGTGAGGGGGAAGATATCTTGAACAGAGAAGAACTTGAAAGGGAGCTTGTCGCTGTAAGAGACCGCGAGTTTCCTAACCTTCTCTAGACTGAGGATGACATTCAAACCTTGAAGGAGGCTCTTAATGTCAAGATTAAACATTTGGTCGAGATAAAGAAAAAACTTGGTCACACAGATATAACCACCATTTCCTACGATGTTAGAGAAGGTTTAACTCGATTTGGCGAAAGTGAGACGTAAGGCTTGTGCAGTATTTACTCTTGTTCTATGTAACATCTTATCATAATTCATCTTTGTCCTGATATTTCCATTTCTTGTCATTTTTGCCTTACAGCATGCAGAAAACTCAACGTGCTTTCGCTCAAGCTCGAAGCAAGACAATTGATGTTGCGGAGGACGTAAAGGAGAAAATAACCACGTCTTTCGAAAACATTAAGTGAATTCACTTCCTTTTGTAACCTATGTTTTTTTAAGGAATTCAGATGCCTTTAAGAACATCTCGGAAACCATGGGCTCCGCTTTTGGTACCATTAAGGTGAGTTCATTCATTTTCTCGCCATCTGCATAGTCACTCACTGACTCATTTGTGTTGACTAGCGTTGGCCTATATCATTCAATCGTCGTGCATTTTGTGCGTGAACAACAAATTTCTCTTATTCCGACATTTCATTAATGAATTCCTCATTCGAAGCAACCTTACTCGTTTGGAAAGATTTTGAGACTGTTTTAAGTTCTCTTTTAAGCGCAAATACAGCTTGAGTGTTGTATTAGTTTTTTTAGCACTTCTCAACCTAATTACTTTTAAGCTTTAACTGTACATGTGGCTCTTTATCATCCCTAAAAAATTTAAGTCCTTGTATTCTGAAGTGGCTTTGACATGGACGTCCAGAGGGGTTGAGATGCTAGAAGACCTCCCGTGATTAAATATGGAGTCGGAACAAGTGACACTCCGTATTTTTAATTCGTGCCATTGTCATGATTCCGATCTCTGGATCCGATTTTGTTTACAACTATTGGAGACTACTTGTTTTCCCATAAATGGGTCGTAAATGTCAATATAATTACACGCTATTGTTGTTGCTGCTCCTGTCACTAGGCATTTGCAATGCCAAATTTGGGTCGTCTGAGCTGGCGAGAACCGTCGGGAGGTCGTGGGGAGACTAGTGTTCCCCCTCTTCCCACTGCGTCTCTTTCTTCCGCATCTGAACTGTAGCAGGTTTGACTTAAACGTCATTCCTCGGTGTTGTCATTATTTTTTCTGTTTGTGTTCGGTGTCGCTTTCAGTCACCTTCCTTCCTCATTCATCTCATCCATCTACTCAATTTCGGTGTTGATTTTGACAAATTATTATCAATTACGGTTTTTGTCACGTTTTGGCTTTTCTTATAACTTTGATTTTGATAAAATTGGAATCACTTTGAGATGGGGTAAATTCCCCGTAGTGATCTAAATGAGTCCCGGTTTTCTCACGATCAAGTCCCCAAGATGTGATGGACGTTTTTATATATTTAGAGGTCCCATTGAAGTCGCGATCCACTTCTGAGTCATTCTAGTTAAAAGTTACACTAATCCACGGTTGACACACGCAGCATCGAAAGGCCGTAAATGCTTCGCCTATTTGTAAGGTCCCAATCCGCCATCCCAAATTAGATATAGTCTATTTCTTCATGCGCTATCGGTACTTCGCGACGGAATTCTCGTGTTCCCAGTGTTTATAATGAAGGAGAAAGATTTTGGCATTATCAATCAATTTGTTTTTGATTCTCCCTGTATCCTCTTTCACGTTTTTTGTTTCTTCTTATGTGTACACAGATGTGTTCTTTTGCCTATTTAAAGTGTATGGACTTTGCTCTTGTGTGGCTCACTTTGGCCATTTTTTGTATGGGAAGTTTTCCCTCATGACTAAATTCTCCTTGAATTCGTTGCTAGATACAAAAAAATTGGAGCTTTTGTGGCCCCTTCTCTCTCGTAGTCGTTGTTCCTTGACACTTCCCCTTGGTCGTAGTCTCATCATTGTCATTCAATGTGGCCTGGATAAGTAAGGGGTGTCGAGAATGACTACTTTTATTGTTTAACTCAAGTCGACTTAGTCTTATCTGTTTGTGGTCATTGAAGACTAATTGAGGGTTGACTCAGCCACAAATGGTACTTTCTCATTTTTAGTCTCCCTTCTTCCCCTCATGGTGATGCGAGTTGTAACTGCTCTGTCACTGTTTAGCGTCCTCGTCTTCTTCTTCTTTGTGCAATGACAGTATTGCATGAACGGTGGCATTCTAATGTCCTCTGGGTGCCATGGAACCTAACCTGTCCATTTCCTTTTTTTGTCTTTTACAGGATGCCATCGTGAAATCGACCTATGGTACACTGCCGGAGGATGGGGATTGAATATTGTCCTTGCATCATCATCGCACCCACATTTGTGTATTCTCCTCCTCCTCACCAGGAACACTTTGACCTTTTGACCGCCTTCTCTTCTCCCCCCACCTCCTCTCACTTCATTCATTTTTTTTGCGTAACCTTGGAATTTATAAAAGTCGCATTTTTGTGATCGTCGAGTCCTGTCCTGTCTCCCTTTTGCCCTTTTGTTTGTGTGAGTGTCAATTTTGAGTTGATTTTTGGAAATAAAGACTGCTTCAAGTTTGCCCAACATTTGTGAAACTTTCCCTTGGAAAGGTAGGTTAGTATTATTGGTTGGACATTCAAGAAAGTCAGGGTGGAATGATCCTCGTCAAGCGGTACGATCACACCGTTTTTGAGCCCACTTCCCGTTTGCAATCCGAGTGGAATTGTGAGATCAAGCGAGGGCCGTCCCAGAATGGAATGGGGTTGGCGTGGGGGGCTAATCAAGACTTCTCAATATATTTGCCGCCTAGCATCAC